TCCTGATTTAATATCCTTCAAATGATCAGCGATTTACTGATGAATTATCAAAAAGGATAAACCTAACGTATAGTAAAGTTACCTGGTACTTGGAAACTCGTCCATCTAGATTTCCCTTGGCCAGTAAATTCATATTTTCTTTTATCAGGATCATCACAGATATAAAACACTAATTCATCCATATCTTCCATCAGCGAACATCTAGAATATAGTTAAAAATACGGAAGATCAGTGTATGCTAAATGTTGAGAGAGAGAAAATGGGAGGACCCGAAGAAAACCCATGAGGTTGGACAAGCGACCCTACTCCTTTTCATGTACAATCGGGGATTCAAAACCATGCCACCTGACTCAATGACAGAACATGCACACATGTTAAACATTCGGACATCCAACCCCCCCTGCACGTAGGGGTCTTTAGCAGTGGGAAGAAACCGGAGATGGGCTGAAAACCCTACTCCTAGTCACATACAAGCTTTGGATTGAAACACCACTTGACTCAATCGACCACCATCCCTCTAGAAATGTGAAAATCTGCCTATTGCAGGTTTTTCTTTAGGCCTAAAATGTTATCTAAATTATTAATTAGACATTAATTAACCTATCCAGACCATAATCAACTCTAGATGGCATCGCTAGCCTGCGATCTTTAGTGGATTGTGAGCCGATTTACTGCATAACTTTCCTTCACGATTTAACAATTAAATGGATAATCGAGACTATGCTGTTTATCGTACTGACTTTAGTAATGATGATCGAGGCTAGGCAGGAAATTTCAATCGCTTACTTCTCGGTTCAGTACATTGCTTTTACATTGCTTTTACATCTAGTTTTTAACTATTATAGTGAGAACTGCCAACTCGTTATCAAATCTCCCATAATGTATCTTTAAAAATAAATACGGACGACTAACCTGCTATCAAACGTTATAGTTAAAAATGAAGCTCCAGCTAGATGTATTTTACCACGGTGATTAACAGATGGGTAATTATGTTCCGTTTCCTTGGTAACCGATGATATAGCTATTTCCTCCATAAACTGACAGGCTTTACAAGCGATTGGAATCAAACTTTGATGATCACAGTTGATTATTACTTTCTCTACAACCTGAAGTCATAAATAACAACAACAAGTTTTAATCAGGGTTTTCATTTCGAAATTTAGGACATTTCACAACTAATCAAAACTGTCAGCTCCAAATCCCGGCTTCTACTTCAGTATCCAGCACCCAAAATTGTAATTAGGACCAAATCAGGCCCTTCAAATCAAAGTTTATTTAGGACATTTAAAACCCAATTAAGAGTTTTCACGTCACATGGGGCTATACTACATACTGGAAAACACAACACCGAAAAACAACCGGAAAACAACTGGAAAACACCGGAAAAACACTAAATACCGGAAAACACCCTAAATACCGGAAACCACCCTAAATAGGTAACCCGGAGAAGGGCTATACTATAAACCGGAAACTAACCCTAACCCAGGCACACAGAGGACCAGGCTTCCGGTTCCCTATTTAGGGTGCCAGTCTCCGGGTTACCTATTTAGGGTATTTTCCGGTATTTAGTGTGTTTTCCGGTATTTAGTGTTTTTCAGGTGTTTTCCGGTATTCAGTATAAAATGGTGTTTTCTGGTTGTTTTCCTGTGTTTTCCGGTATATAGTATTGCCGCGTCACATGTAGGACACTAACACCCTTTCAGAATTTTATTTAAGACTTTTAGCAACAAATTAGGGCTTTCAATTCTAAATTTTATTTAGGACACTTAGCACCCTATCAGAGCAAGGACATTAAGCACCAAATCAGGGCCTTCAACCTAAATTTTCATTTGGGACATTTAGGGCACTCACTTCAAAATTGTAATTTTATGACTTGTGAAATGACCGACATGTCAGTTCTCCTCCCGGTCACTTTGGACTAAAATGGGAGCCATGGAGAAGATATATATGGACTATTGAATTAGGACCATTGGTATCTTATGGGCAAAAAATGAAATGAAATAAAATGGGGTTTAACGACCTATTCCGACTGGGTTAATAAAGACGGGCATATGCCATACAGTGTGCTATGAGGGAAATTTTGTCCGGAAAGCGGCACTGTGGCTAACTTTTATATCAAATTTCAACTGCCAAGGACTCTTTTACGTGCACCAAAATTATGTACACACCAGACCTCAATTTTCGTACCATCCAAATGACTAGACAGCTGTCCTTGTCAGGCCCTCCGTCTTGCATCATTGACAAGGAGATCTTAAGGGCAATTAATCAAATCCATCCATATATAAAATATAACCTTACCTTTAAGAAGTTATCGAAACCATCCATTTTATAAAGAAGATCCAATATGCATGGAATCTGTTCAATGTCCGTACATCCTAACAAATCACTTGTTATCGTTGGTCCCTGTGGCGGCCATCTTGCCAGTAAACCCCGCAGCAAATTACGTGAATATATGATAGACATAGCCATGTTGACTTTTGATAAAAATTCTCTCGATCCACATCGGCCATATTTGAGCAATTCTTTTCGCAGTAATTCCGTACTCTTCGTTTGACGTAATTCTCCGATTTTACCCTGGTTTATCGTTCCTGTGGGTATCAAGTTGATAGTTGTCTCCCCTTTTTCTTCCGTGGCTTTATCAAGTTTGTCTCGCTTAAACTGAAGGAAAAAAAAAAAAATTCGGAATTTGAAATTACTACTAAAGGTAAAATCCTAATTAAAATCTATTTATTAAAACAAAGCAATTGGATTTACAGTATTTGAAAGCAATTGGATTTACAGTATTTGTCTTTCGAATTTTTGTCTGCTAGGAGAAAAATTTGGCCTAGATTCTTCAATTAAGTTAAACTAGCAAGGCTTCTTTTTTTGTTATGCTTGACAGCTTGGGTAGAAAAAAATAATGTCAACTAAAGTGATAAATATATGCATATTATTACCTCATATTTTGCAGCTTTCTTTCCCCTGTAACAGAACAAAACAACTTTAAACACTACACAGAACAGATTGAGTTGGGTCCGGTAGAACATATTGAGTTGGGTCCGGTAGAACATATTGAGTTGGGTCCGGTAGAACAGATCGAGTTGGGTCTGGTAGAACAAATTGAGTTGGGTCCGGTAGAACATATTGAAATGTTTAATACCTTTTATCACTGCATGCAGTTCTGGATTTACCTGTAGGTCTGGCCAGTTAAGGTTTATATTATTTTTGACACTGTCATAAGCCTTTCATCTCACACATAGTGCTCAGTGGGTAAGACGGGGCTTAAAATCCACTCACACAAGCCAGGTCATATTAGGACAAACATAATGGTTCAATTTCATTTGAAAGACGGACAATATGATTTTATGCTGTACGTGTTAAACCACTAGACTACCCCCCCCCCCCTCCCCCCACCCCATCCAACGTAAACAATCAACGAGCACATAAAACTAGTAAACAAAAAACACCCTGAAGATTTGTCAGTGGTGAAATTTTGCCTGGGCAGTGGCACTTTGACCTAATCTTATATATTAAATTCCAACTGCCAAGGGATCTTTTACGTACATACCAATGTATACACGCGACCTCGTTTTTTGTCCCCTCCAAAACACTAGACAGCTGTCCTTGTCAGGCCCTTCGTCCTGCACCACTGACAAGGGAAACCACGTTGGAAAATGAAATTTTGCCTGGGCAGTGGCACTTTGACCTAATCTTATATATTAAATTCCAACTGCCAAGGGATCTTTTACGTACATACCAATGTATACACGCGACCTCGTTTTTCGTCCCCTCCAAAACACTAGACAGCTGTCCTTGTCAGGCCCTTCGTCCTGCACCAATGACAAGGGAAACCACGTTGGAAAATCCCAATGAATTTTCTCGACCAATGCAGGGATCGAACATGCGACCTCCAGGCTAGCGAGCCAGCGTCTTACCCACTTACCCACTTAGCCACCATGACCCCCAGTTATGAAAACAAATGTCCGTCTGCTACTCACCCATCGTGATGATGATGATGATGATGATGTATAGATGGAGACAGGATTATACCAGTATCAATCATTTTATCTCCATTTTTATCATCGCTATCTTTCTCCTCATCTTTCTTCTCCCTGAAAACATCAAATATTCATTTTATGATCAAAAATAGATTTACAACTGTATGGGCTAGTCTTACACGTTATTACATGGGATAGTATTACAAGTTATTAGAGGGGGTTCATGTGGCTAAGTTGGTAAGACACTGGCTCGCTAGCCTGGAGGTCGGGTGTTCGATCCCTGCATTGGCCGAGAAAGTTCATCCAGATTTTCCGGTGTGGTTTCCCCTTGTCAGAGATGCAGGGCAGAGGGCATGACAAGGAGAGCTGTCTAGTCATTCGGATGAGATGAAAAACCGAGGTCCGGTGTACACTTTTGCGTGCACATAAAAGATCCCTTGGCAGTTGGAATTCGATATAAAAGTAGGCAATAGTGCCGCTGCCTGGGCAAAATTTCCCTCATAGCACACTGTATGGCGTATGCCCGTCTTCATTAGCCCAGTACAGGAGCAGAACAGTAGGACGTTAAACCCCATTTCATTTCATTTCACAGGTTATTACATCTGTATGGGCTAGTCTCACAGGTTATTACATCTGTATGGGCTAGTATTATAGGTTATTACATCTGTATGGGCTAGTCTCACAGGTTATTACATCTGTATGGGCTAGTCTCACAGGTTATTACATCTGTATGGGCTAGTCTCACAGGTTATTACATCTGTATGGGCTAGTATTATAGGTTATTACATCTGTATGGGCTAGTATTATAGGTTATTACATCTGTATGGGCTAGTATTATAGGTTATTACATCTGTATGGGCTAGTATTATAGGTTATTACATCTGTATGGGCTAGTATTATAGGTTATTACATCTGTATGGGCTAGTATTATAGGTTATTACATCCATATGGGCTAGACCACGGTTCTAAATATTAATTTCTACTTACCAACTTTCCATAAAACTTTTAATTTCATCAGAATTCTCAAAACTGAAAAAAAATCAAAATGGAAATATAATATAACAAGTTTTCCTCAAACAGGGCAGCTGTACAGGGTTTGAAAAATGAAGTCTCTGGAAAATTCTGTGTTCTAAGACTAGGATAATAAAAGGTTAGTCATTGAGTTGCTCTCAGATAAAATTGTATTCTTTGATCGAAATTCAATATGATGGGTTTTTCCCTTTCCTAGATATGTTAAAATTGTTTCTATTATAAAGCACATATATTCCATTTATTCAGAGAAATAGTTACCTTCCTGACAAATACAGATTAATGGAAAAATTAACAAATGTAAACGGGGATTGGAGAATTTAGCTTGGATTAATATATTTATAAATGATGAAAGCAGAATCTGTCAATTTTATTTTTGTTTTTAAGGGTCTTTAGCAGTGGGGGGAAACCCGAGAAAACCAATAAGGATGGACAGGCGACCATATATCTTCTCATGTACAAGTGAGAAACCGAAACCACACCGCTTGACTGAATGACAGACCTTATGATCCAACGTCTTAAACAATTCGCCAACCCATTCTCTACCAAATTTTTTTTCAAGCGAAACAGAGAGAGAGAAATAGAGTTTAACGTCCACTTGACACAAACTAGGTCATTTCGGGACTAACATATGGTTCAATTTTATTTTAATAATTCACTTGCACATATGGATCTTTAGCAGTGGGAGGAAACTGGAGGACTCGGAGAAACCCACGAGGTTGGATTCGAGCGTAAGTCCTGCTCTACAAACATTATGTTCTATTTTTACTCACTTTTCTACGATAGCTTTTATTACAGCATCCCGACTACCTTCATGCATGTCGTAAATAACTTGTAAAACTGACGTCGGTACTTTAAACTTTTCATGTAACGCCTGTAAAAAAATAAAACAAATATGGAATACAATTACACTGTAACCTGAATATCATTTAATCTTGTGTATCTTCCTTGAGATGTTTAAAAAAACTTGAAATGCAGGTTACCCTATCATACACATTTTGTTCTAATACAGTGGTTCTTAACATTTTTTTGCAATGACACACATTGGAACGCTTGAAAAAATAGCGGCACACCTGGTTAAATATATATGAAAAATGTTTGAATTTTGCAAGTCAGACCGCATATAAATGTAGACAGAGACTCATAGATACATAAAAAGACTCAAACTAAATAAAGAACCAGCGGCTGCCAGGCAGGTAAGCCCACATTTTCGAGAGATGGATAGAGAACAAGCTAAAAAGAAAGTGATTTTTCCTAAAATCAAGGGCTATAAATCAGGAAGCTACGGTCCGATATGCGCGAATATCAAAAGGAACCGAGATCTTTCGGTTATAAACTTACATTTCAAGTTTCAACAAAATCGGATAAAAATTGTGACCTCTATTGGGTCCACAACCTTGATATACCATATTTTTACGCTATTTGAGAACGAACGGCGGCCAATTTGTCTGTCAATTTTGGGCCGATGTTCACGAAATTCGAACTTAGCTGTCCTTAGGGTGTAACGGTGATATAAAAATACGGTTTTTAAAATCGGATAAAAAATTATGACCTCTATAGGGTCCACAAGCTAAAAACGCGATTTTTCGTACAATCAGGGGCCATAATTCAGGAAGTTACAGTCCGATATGCGCGAATATCGAAAGAAACCGAGATCTTTGGGTTATAGACTTATATTTCAAGTTTCATCAAAATCGGATAAAAATTGTGACCTCTATAGGGTCCACAAGCTAAAAACGTGATTTTTCGTACAATCAGGGGCCATAATCCATGAAGTTTCGATCCGATACATGCCAATATCGAGAGCAGCCGAGATCTTTTGGGGATAAACCTATATTTCAAGTTTCGTATAAAAACACAGCTCTAAACACCAGCGAATACTCAATTGGGATCACATGATTTTTCGCATTTTCTTAGTGTGGCGTTCAAAATTTCGTGGCACACTAAGGAAGGTCTCGCAGCACACTGGTTGAGAATCACTGTTCTAATGGATTATTCTGATAACATAAAACATTTTTACCTCAAATAGCGTCTTAGTTTTGGAATCAACCGTTCCAAAGACATTGGGAAGATCCTCGTCTTCATGGAACGAAGAATTGGACACAGTTTTTAACGATGAAGAGGAAGAGGAAGAAATCGTTTCATAAATATCATCATCATCGTCATCATCATCCAAATCATCATCATCATCATCATCATTTGAATCTTGATCCGTTCCCGATAATTTCGATTTTTCTGTGTTTTTACGATTAACGGTCGATGATTTTTTTATAATGGTGGGTGGCGTTTTTGTTGAACGATCATGAGTATATAACATCAATGATAAAACCTGAGAAATAACAAAAAAAATATATTTATTTATTTTACCTTGAAGTGAAATGAAATGAAATGAAATGGGGTTTAACGTCCTACTGTTCTGCTCCGGACTGGGCTAATGAAGATGGGCATACGCCATACAGCGTGCTATGAGGGGAATTTTGCCCGGACAGAGGCACTACGGCCTACTCTGATATCGAATTTCAACTGTCAAGGGATCTGTTACGTGCACGCCAATGTGTACACGGGACCTCGGTTTTTCGTTTCATCCGAACGACTAGACAGCTGTCCTTGTCAGACCCTCCGTCCTGCATCACTAACAATGGAGAACCACGGCGGAAAATGTGGATGAACTTTCTCGACCAATGCAGGGATCGAAGCGAGCCAGCGTCTTACCCACTTAGCCAACGTGATTCCCTTACCATGAAGTATAAAATTATACCTGATGTTAGTGGTGCAGGACAGGGGCCTGCTAAGGAACAGTGTTTAGTTGTTCAGAAGATAAAAAAAAAAAAGGCCTGATGTACACGTAAAAGAGCCCTTGACAGTTGGAAATCAAGTGGGGGTGAGAAACAAGGTTGAAAAATTGGGATTTTTAATGTGTGACTTTGTTCCTGTGGAAATATTAAAGGAATTACTGTATTTAAAGTTTAGTTTCAAGCCATTGTTAGAAAACTGTTCAAATCTGTTGAGAATCATAGAAAAAACATTTCTATTATTGTGTAGTTTAACTGCTCGAAATAAAGTATAATTTGACTAAAATTTTCCATATATATTCCCTTTTCATTATTTATTTTTATAAATATTATGGCAAGAACTGTCAGCTCTTTATCTAAATCTTACATATGCATCTTTAAAAATCAGTTGTAAATAAACTGAACGACATTACAAACCTCCAAATCTTTAAGCAACCATTGCTGACTAAAACCAGTGCCGAGACTCGCAAGATGAACCAAGCACTGGATAAACAAAGCTTTAAATAATTCATCGTCCAACTGGAACTGACTGGTCTGGAGATAATTATGAAGAACTTTTAATGCCAGAGACAAAACCCATAGAGTTTCCACTTCCAAACTTTCACCTAGAAAAAATTAAATTATTTTATGAACATTATTTTTTTTTTTTGTATTCTACAACTATAAATGTAATAAAAATCAGGGGGTTAGCGCGTGCACGTTGTATCATAAGGTTTTTCATTCAGTCAACTGGTATCGATTCATTGATTGTACGTGAGGAGTAGGGTTGCCTGTCCTACCTCATGGGTTTTCTGCGGGTCCTCTGGCTTCCTCCCACTGCTAAAACCCCTACGCTCAATGAATTATTGAAATAAATTTAACTATATGTTTGTCCTGAAATGAACTAGCTTGTGTTGAGTGGATGTTTCTCTCTCTCTCTCTCTCTCTCTCTCTCTCTCTCTCTCTCTCTCTCTCTCTCTCATGTGATACAACGCGCGCGTGCAAAAACAAAGATTGAATTCACTTTCACTGCCCTTGTTTTTCTTCCCGTGTGTTCCATACCAAACTCTTGGTCCTGCACCATTGACAAGGGGAAATAAAGCCGGTAAAGCCTAAGAAACTGTCTCGGCCAACACGGAACTCCTGGTGATGCTAGGTTCCCACTATCACGATTCACAACTGAAATTATGGAGTAATTGTGTTGATCCTATCGGGTCTTATATATTGAGGTCAGTCGTAGTAATCGTGTTGATCATATTGAAACGTATACGAACGTATCTGCACACAGCATATCGTGGACTCAATAGAGGCATTGCACGACAGTGGGAACCTAACATTAGTAAGCCAGTGTCTTACTCACTGAACCACTGTGACTCCCGTACACAAGACAGAGTATGTTTACGTTTTCTCGACCACCTGATACCACATCTTGCTGAGAAGTTCTTTTGTATCATAAAACGTTTTAGTAAAGATTTGAAATATATCAATATATCATTTATTAATTACCTGCTTTTATCTTGGCAACCGTTTCCGTGACGATACTTGTGAACTCGGTTACATGTTCTGTATCCCATAATTCTACCATATCACTGGTACACGTAACACATTGGTCTTTTACCTACAAAACAAAAACTTTTATTTTAAATATTTGACTTAAAAATTCAAGTTATTATATTTTTAACCGGCCTTATGATTCGCTATTGATCACGACACGCTGAATCGATGTATCACAGTATTTTTTTTTTTTTTGTCACTTCAGTAAGTAACATTTCATAGGTACAGAAACACTCTAAAATTGTTTTGCTCCTTATTTTGATCCACATCAACATCTACAGGACTAAATATATCAATTATTAATTTATCCTGTTGTTTTCTTGGTATATATTGACTTGGTTATGAATCAAGAATACGAATCATATTGTAGCAAATAGTATATGGTACAATGTTATTTCAATAATTCCCTTGTGCCTAGAGGTCTCTTGTGCCTAGAGGTAACCAGAGCATTTGGAGTAAACCCATGAGGTTGGACAGGCGAGTTTCTGAACAATATATTTACCGTATGTCTCCTTCTGGTCTGTACATCTACGACGAGTGTCTGACATTTATCGGGGAAGTTTTTAATCACGATTCCGTTCTTCTTCTCTAATGTTTTATGTATATAGTTGACTTGGTTCCCGATCGTTAAAACTTCAGGAAAACCGGCCATTACAAACATCGCAAATATTGATGATAATTCTGGCTTCTGCTGTAAAAACAACGTTTGTAAACTTTATTACTTAAATATGCAATAGAAGAAAGCATATCTTGTGCTTACAGGTCTTTATAGCAATCAGTGGAAACCTGAGGACCAAGATAAAAAACCACAAGGTTAAGCAGCTCATGGTGTCCCTACTTCTTGTCGCATACACAAGTTCTGGATCGAGACCACTTGATTCAAAGACAGATGTTATGATTTAAAAAGCACTCCTTAGACCACTTGATATGACTTCACCTCCCCCCAAACTAGTTTGACCACTTAATATCCCCTCCGCCCCCCCCCCCCCCCCACCTCAAACTAGATAGGAGCTACCCGTATAAATTATAATTTCTTCAACTATATTCCTAGTGATACTGGTTGATCTTCTAGAGGGAGTTTTACTGGTATCACTATCATCAACCACCTGTTACCACCTTCCCTCCCTCCTCCCCCTCCCTAATCAGATAAGAGTTACCTGTACTAAGTATAAAGTATAATTCCTTCAACTACCTTTCTAGTGATACTGGTTGATCTTTTAGAGGGAGTTTTACTGGCATCACCATCAGCAACTGCTTTACTTGTTATTTCATGACTTGAACTGTTATTTTCATCTAGACTTATCCCTTCATCTTTCTTAATAAAACCACCCTGAAAATATTCATCATAAATTGTTTTACTGGTATGACTGGTAAGCTGATACCGTTGACTAATGAAGCTAGGCCTTTTAGTAATGACAATTTTTGTGATCATTAAATCATATAAGTGGTCAGTATTCTAAACTAATGTTTAGTATGTATAGAAAGTGATTAGAAATTATATAACAGTTGTCATTAATTAGCAGATGTGTAACTAGCTGTAAACATGTCACTACTAGCGTAGAAGCATGACTATTTATAACACCCATCACTATTGAATACCCAAACCTGGACAATAGTGGTGAAAATGAAAGGAATGGGGTTTAACGTCCTACTGTTCTGCTCCGACTGGGCTAATGAAGATGGGGGGGGACCATAGTGGTGTATATCAGTGCTCACTCTGGGTTTCATTTTTGTTCCGCCAATTTTTCATTTTAATTTATTAGCCATATATTTTCTCCGCCAAAATAAAGAACAAACATCTATTACATTTTTTCATTATTTTGTTTTACATAAGTACATACAATATACATATGAAATTACAATTTACAAAATTCTTCTCTGCTTTTACATAACTTAGTAACATTAAAACTACACAGTGTATTTGTTTTTAATGAATATCTGTATATCTGAAAATTTCCATTCATCCTTAAAAGATCTACGTTTTCATAATGCGCTTAAACAAAAATGGATAATTGAGACTTTGTTTTTTTATAGTACCGACATTAGTAATGATGATCGAGACTAGGCCTAACATTCAAATGCTAATATCTCGGTTCAGAGTGAAGCAATTCGACTGAAATTTCCAGCATATTCTATTCAAGTTATCTATTTTTAACTATTATAGTGAGAACTGTCAGTTCTTTTATCTAATCTCCCATAATGCCTCTTTAAGAATTTTCTTTTTCGAAATTTTTCTCAGTCGCAAACTTTTGAGATACCGTAGCCTACATGCAGACCTATTGTAGAAGTTGATATCGCTTCAACATTCAAGGATGTAATATTATTAGATGGAAGGGAGCTGATCATGTCAGTATCATCTGTAGATTTGGAGCATTTTGGTGGTGACATACTAAAATAATCTGACATTCTTCTATCGGACGTTGACGAAGGCTGTTCAATTTTTCGCTTACGACCCATGGCATGGCATGCGATGTTATGATAACTGACTTTCGACAACCCAAAGAATATATACGCAATTATAAACTGTAACAACAAACCTGGCTCCATTTATTTTAGGTACGGGCAATAGTAGTATGAAAAAGATAAAACAGATGTCGTAATGCAATAATCCCAAACAAATCGAACAAGTATTATTCACAGTGTCCGCCATTTTGAATATGTAGAAACCGTCAAAATATCCACGGATTCGTATTTGAAGACAAATAATTAAATCTTTTGTCTCTTAATTAGTTTATAACTACTTTTACTGTAAAAACTAATCAACACTAATCCGAGATTGATCAAGAGACAAAAGATATCTCTATTATTGGCACCTAACTGATTGATGACTGACTCAGCCAAGTGCAATAGACTGTGTAACGCGTATCATGCACGGCGTGGAAATAAAGCTTTGTGGCAAGAAAAATTTATCGCCAAGGTTAAAAAAGAATCACCATACAGGAAAAAGTTATCGCCAAAAATTTCGCCAGATCGAATATTTTATCGCCAAAATTATATTTTTATCGCAATTGGCGGCAATGGCGATCGACAGCGTGAGCGCTGGTGTATATCATTCAATAGTCACAGTTTTAACACCTAAGTAATGACTACTGCCTGAATACTAGTAATTTTAATGAACTAATCAACACTATATATAAGAGAGAGAGATAGAGAGATAGAGAGAGAGTGAGTTTAACATCCACTCAACAAAAACTAAGTCATTTCGAGACTAACATATGGTTCAATTTTATTTCAATAATTCACTTGTGCATAGGGGTCTTCAGCTGTGGGAGGATTCCGGAGGACCCAGAGAAAACCCAAGAGATTGGACAGATGACCCTACTTCTTGTCACGTACAACCGAAAAATCGAAACCACGCCAGTTGACTCAATGACAGACCTTATGATACAACATGCACGCCCTAACCATTCGGCCGTCCAACCTCCGGAAAATATCAATAATGCTGACCTACCTCTTTCAGCGTCTGGACACATCTTGAGACTTGATTATTGACGATAGATTTCCATTGATCCGCATTCGATAGGGACCCAAGAATACGAGCCATAGAACACGCCCACTCAATACCACTTCTAGAATAATAGAAAACAAACATAGATCACAACCACTTCTACAGACATAGAACACAACCACTCAATACCACTTCTACAAACAGAACACAACCACTCAATACCACTTCTACAAACAGAACACAACCATTAGATACCACTTCTACAAACATAGAACACAACCACTCGATATCACTTCTCAGACATAGAACACAACCACTTGATATCACTTCTACAAACATAGAACACAACCACTCGATATCACTTCTACATAGAATACAACCACACGATATCACTTTTACATAGAACACAACCACTCGATATCACTTCTACATAGCATACAACCACTTGATAACACTTCTACATAGAAAACATCTACTTGATATCACTTCTACAAACATAGAGCCACTCGATACCACTTCTACATACACATAACACAACCACTTGATACCACTTCTACCTAGGTTTTTCGTCCCATCTGAATGACTAGACAGCTGTCATTGTCAGGCCCTCCATCCTGCAACACTGACAAGGGGAAACAAAGCCGGAAATCTGGATGAACTTTCTCGGAATCGAAACCGCGACCTCTTAGACTAGCGAGCCAGCGTCTTACTCACTTATCCACCGTGGCTCCATAGTAGTTTAGTAGTATCTGACATTTCAACAGGTACCATTAGAATCATTATTTCCAGTCCAGGTTATAAAAAATATTCTTACTTTTCTAAACATGAGGCTCCAAAATTGAATAAATAATTGACAGTTTCCTGTCCTGATGGTGCTGTAGGTTTTGACGTTTTACTTGGTACAACTGTTAACACCGCCTCATCAGATACTTCTGTTGATGATTTGGTGAGCAGACGCCCCAGTAAACCCATTCCTAGATGTTGAGTGTTCAACTCATGGTTTCGATCACCTCTATAACATGCAAAAAAAAATATAAACAATATAAGTTCAGAAACATGGAAGGAAGAAAATAGTGGGTATTTAGCCTTTAGCAGTAGGATGAAACCGGAGGACTTTGAGAAAACCCACAAGGTTGGACAGGCGACCTAACTCCTTGTCATGTACAATCGGGGATTCGAAACCACGCCAGTTGACTCAATGACGGGCCTTATGATACAGCGGGCGTGTGCTAACCATTCGGCCATCCAATCCCCCAGGCTCACTGATACGAAAAACAACAGCTACACGATTTGTTTTACTATTATTTGCATCAATCGGTGTATCAATATTGTCGTTGCGACATTGTTTTCAATTTATAGACAAGGAATAGAGAAATAAGATGGCATTATATATATTTCATTAATTAATATCTTTGGCAAGTTGGTAGATTCACATATATGTAGAATTGTACTTAAATCAACTTAGTTAATAACTGATGGGTTGACACATAAAAAGAGTTATATAGCCAAAACATATGTCTATAAAATACCACAGAGAGTATGTGTGCAAGGAAAAGTACTATTGCATCATTGGGTTTAATTTAACCAATCATTTTGTTAATTACACAAGTTCAGGTCCATGAACACGCTTTGTTATGCGTGATATACGTGAGTGCTATATAAGATATCTATTTGAAACTTTCAAGCAGACTTCCATTAGATTCCAGAGAGGTTCCATCTGAGTTCCTAGACAGCCGCGAGGCTGGCTAGGGTGGAGAAATGGTTGTAGCTAGTATTGTTATCTATTATGCTTGTATCCATTTAAGGAGCTATGTATATATAAAATGTAGAAGCGAACTGTTGCATTGTTATTCCTGGTAAGACAAACGTTTTAAGAAAACTGTAAGAAGTAAATACACAACGTGAACCAGAAGTAAAGACAGCTAGAGACAAATTCTAGACGATCACAAGGCTACAGAAATATGTAGTAAGAAAAGATGCATGGGTCGTACGTAGGATGTGGCGTCCGGTTTTCCCACCCCGCTCTCCATGTCAGACAGAAAGGCCCATGGTGCTACATGGGTACCTGTCTTTAGAGAAGAAAATTATTTATCCAATGCTAGGTTCACACTGTCATGCGATGCATTACGATAGGATTGTCTCTATTGAGTCCACGATCTGGTACGTGCAGATACGTTCGATGGATTGCGATAGGATTGTCCCTATTGAGTCCACGATCTGGTACGTGCAGATACGTCCGGATACGACCATCACAATTGCTACGACTGACCTCAATATATGATTAGACCTGATAGGATCACCAAGAATACTCCACGATTTCAATCGCCGCACGAATCGTGATAGTGGGAACCTAGCATTACAAATAATCTTACCTGGCCACTTTATATAATAAATGTAGAAAATCTTTGGTTGTAAAATTATACGTCACACCTTGAATCGGTATCTAAGATATAAAGAAGGTACATTTTATATAATTCAATCATACTCTATGAAAAAAACACACCCCCAATTTTGTTTTATGAAATGAAATGTTGAAAGAATTGACTTGTTTCTTTGATTGGCATTTACCATATTTTTCGGGGTATAGGTTGATACTTTTCTCTGCTGAAGCCTGGCCTTTGTCTCATACTCTGCATTGACTTTATATACCAATGAAGGAAAAAAAAAAAAAATAATGACATCCTGAAATTTTTTTTTTTCAGTAGTGAGAGAGAGAAATGGGGTTTAACGTCCACTCGACACAGACTAGGTCATTTTGGGACTAACATATGGTTTAATTTTATTTCAATAATTCGCTTGCGCGTAGGGGTCTTTAGCAGTGGGAGGAAACCAGAGTACCTGGAGAAAACCCACGAGGTTGGACAGGCGACCCTACTCCTTGTCAAGTACAACCGGGGATTCGAAACCACGCCAGTTGACTCAATGACAGGCCTTATGATACAGCACGCACGTGCTTACCATTCGGCCATCAGCCCCCCCCTCCCAGCGATTAATCTATACATACCTTATTCTCCAGTGGTATCATGGCACCCAGTAGTCCCATAATCCTCTCTTGTGAATGGAATGCGAAGGCTTCTTCCTGCCGTGTTTCTAAATTCTCTGTACCTTCTTGTAATAGATGTTTACTGCCATCTGGTGGGGAAATTAGATATAAAAATTGAATCAATGTCTCTTGAAACTAAATATTAAATACACAAATCACATGGTGGCTAAGTGAGTAAGATGCTGGCCTGCTAGCCTAGGTCACAGGTTTTTCCAGCGTTGTTTCTCTTTGTCAGTGGAGCAAGATGGAGGGTCTGACAAGGACAGCTGTCTAGTCATTCATATTGGACAAAAAACCAAGGTCCTTTACACATGATGGGGAACTTTCTCTAAACTATCGATACACAGCGTTATACACTGATTCTGTAGCTGGGAATTACCTCCCCTAGTATTAACTTACCGTCGGCATCATCGGGAACTTTCTCTAAACAATCGGTACATAGCGTTATACACTGATTCTGTAGCTGGGCTGACAGACGGATATAATCCGAATCTGATGACACGTGCGACGTATCATTACGAATTATCTCCCCTAATATTAACGAGAGTGATGTGAACAATAACCAGACATGTTGATGGATGTACGCCTGCGTCAACGAATCAGAAGTCAGTAACGTCTTCACTGAAAATAGAACACAGCGACGAATTAATTACTGTGTAACTGACCATATTGCTGGATTAAATTCAAAAATCTAATTTACGATATTGATGAATTGTTTAAAGAATAAGCATGCCAACTTTCATGTCGATGGGACTTGAATTGACGTAGCCTTAGGCTTTTTCGAAGAGCAAGATGAGTAGCGGTTAGCAACCAGTTCCCCGAGTCTAAAAATTAACATCTCACTACAGACTATTTATACTGAGCTGTCGCTACCATTTAATCGTGTGTATCCGGCGTTATTTTCTTTAAGGCATTATGATCTGATATGTACTTGTATCCAAAATAAATTTGACAGTTTAATTTCCCTACATGTTTTCAATTATAAGTGTTTCGCTTAATTATCAGAGCTGATCAATAATTAGTTGAACCATTCAATAGGTCATTTGATCAGAACACATGCTTGTGAAATATTAGAAACAAAATGAAAAGCAATACTTACATCTGACAGGTGGAATTCTTGTTACAGCATGACTCTCTAAATGTCTACAATATAAAATATACCTTTCAGTAAATCAGGAGTTGTCTGGGATATTAAACCATTGAGAAATAGTAATGAAATGAAATGGGGTTTAACATCCTACTGTTCTGCTCCGATTGGGCTAATGAAGATGGGCTATGAGGCAAATTTTGCCTGGACAGCGGTACTATGTCCAATTGTCAAGGTGTTTTAAGGTCCACTTGACACGAACTAGGTCATTTCATTTCGGGACTAACACATGATTCTATTCTATTTCAATAATTTGTTTAGGTGTAGGGATCTTTAGCAGAGGAAACTGGAGTACCCAGAGAAAACCCACGAGGTTGGACAGGTGTCCGTACTCCTTGTCACATACAACCTGGGAATCGAAACCACGCCTGTTTGCTCAATGACAGACCTTTTGATACAGCCCGCACATGGTAACTATTCGGCCATCCAACCCCCCGCTAACCATTCAGCCCCCCCCCCCTATATACTACACAACTACATTATAATGTGAGCAGGTAATAAGACTTACTCAGCTGGGAACTTTTGGTTACTATGGCAACCTAGACAAAGATCAAAATCTTCACAAATATCACAGTGAATTCTGGTTCCAATAATAAAACCCTGACATTTATTACACTTAAATCTGAAAAAAAAATCAAAGAAAACAAAAATTATTATTATTTGTCAGTCACAGCTTTAGGGAAAAAGAACAACTTGAAAATTAAAAGAATAGTAATTCTTATATCTTACTCAGTGAGTCACCGCCTGTTATTGGTGTTCGATTGTAAATGACTGGGCTAATGAAGACCAGCATATGCCATACAGTGTGCTATGAGGGAAATTTTGCACGGGCAGCGGTACTACAGCTTACTTATATCGAATTCCAACTGCCAAGGCATCTTTTACGTGCATGCCAATGTATACACAGGACCTTGTTTTTTTGTCCCATCCAAATAACTAGACAGCTGTCCTTGTCAGGCCCTCTGTCCTGCAACATTAACAAGGGATCAAACACCCGACCACCAGGCTAGCGAGCCAGCGGCTTAACCACTTAGCCACCGTTGCTCCCCTTGATGACAAGAGTTTTATCCTGATTGTCTTGATCAGACAGATATTGCGTGAGAGTCTGGTATAATTTACACTAGATGTAGGTTACAATCACATGAGTGTCTGGTTGACCAAGATTAGATATAAATTACACTAGATATGGCATGATAGTCTGGTTGATCAAGATGAAATATAACTTGCACTAAATGTATGACATTACAGAGAGACTGGTTGACCAAGATGAAATATAACTTGCACTAGATGTACGATGTTGTGAGAGACTGGTTGACCAAGATGAAATATCACTTACACTAGATGTATGATGTTGTGAGAGACTGGTTGGTCAAGATGGAATATAACTTACACTAGATGTATGATATTATGAGAGACTGGTAGATCAAGTTTTGTGTGAGAGACTGGTTGACCAAGATGAAATATAACTAACACTAGATGTATGACATTACAAGAGAATGGTATATCAAGTTTAAATATATAGAACTTACACTAGATGCACGATATCGTGATCGTCTTTATGGTCACCCTCTGGTTTCACACCACCTGATATAAAAATTTAAATAATGGTTTTATATTCAGTGACGAAGAGAAATGAGGTTAAAAATGTTTTTGCAGAGGAAAAGTATTGAAGAGAGAGACTTAACGTCTACTGAACACAAGCTAGGTCATTAGGGGACGAACATCAGGTTTAATTTTATTTCAATAATTCGCATGTGTGTAGAGGTCTTTAGCAGTGGGAGGAAATCAAAGAACCTGGAGAAAACCCACGAGGTTGGACAGATGAAAAAATATATTTAGGCCTCTAATAAATACCTGAGAAGCATGTAGTACAGAGATCCATGTCCACACATTGTAAACATCTATATCGTCGTCCTGGTAACGTATTACCACACCCATCACAGTTTATCTCTACATCTAATAAATCACAAAATCTAGCAACAAACATTTGAATTTCCTGGAATTATAACAAATACAATAAACATCTGAATTTCCTAGAAATATAATAAATACAATAAACATCTGAACTTCCTGGAAATATAAAAACAACAAACATCCGAATCGGCTGAACATATAACAAAAACAAAAATCTGAATCTCCAGGAAATAAATACAAACATCTGAATCTGTTCAAACCAAAGTGACAAACCTTGGACAACACACACCATGAATGGACCCACAAACAGCGAGTGACCTTGCTTTAAACCCACCTTTTTCTGGTCTTTACTGGCATCCTCCTTCTCTTTATACCAGTCACTGAAACCTTTGGTACATTCTTCTAACCATGACATACATAATTTATAGCCACGTAATTCTTCTACTTCTTCTTCCTCTCCCATCGTACAATTCCTCATCTTTACAGTTTCTATAGTAACATTAAACATGATATAAAACCATAGTCGTACTTGATCGTACAGTTCCCAATCTTTACTGTTTCTATAGTAACATAACACATGATATAAAAACATAGTTGTCCTTGATCGTACAATTCCTCATTTTTATAAACATGACCAGTTGGAAAACGAGTATGTGTCTATGCAAAGTTTTGATTAACCTACATAACAAGTCGTGTGCAGGTTTTTGTAAAGCCGTACTTTATATAAAAAAAAGAGTATGACGTTGACGAAAAAGGGTTTGTAGGAATATCCTACAAAAACAGAATGTGTGTCCACTGGACTTGTCCACTGGACTGTAAGCAGCTAAAAAAAATAGGGCGTGTGTCTACTGGAGGATGTGCAACTACAGAAACATTGTGTGCAACTACACAAAAAGGGTGGGCAACTACACAAACAGGATACTAACCTTTGGCAATCTTCATAAATAATTCTGGTAGTTTAATCTCTGATACAAACGTCAAATCATACGGCTAAAATAAAACAAGACAAAACAGTTTATTCTTCAATTCCACAGAAGGGGAGAAAGAGAAATGGAGTCTAATGTCCACTCGACACAAACTAGGTCATTTCGGGTCTAACACATGATTCAATTTCATTTCAATATTTCGCTTGAGAGTTGGGGTCTTTAGCTGTGGAAGGAAACCGTATGGACCCAGAGAGAACTCAAAAGGTTGTCACGTACAAGTGGGAATCAAAACCACCAGCCAGCTTCTTACCCACTTAGCTACCGTGGCTCTAACATTGCATAAAATATCACTTGTTTTAACTTCGCTCCACACTGTCACACTGTAAATTGCTATTTTCATTTCCGTTCTTTGATAAAGCCTCTCACAAATACATCTACATCCATCAAGAATTGATTTACTGATTTATTGATTTATTGATTCTTACCTTCCATTGTGTATCTAGTAGATGTAGTAAACAGGCTTGTATGTATCTATACGCTGGTATCACCTGACTACAAATATAACATGACAATAGATTATAGTATAAATCTTTACGATTACAAGTTACGCTGGTATCACTTGACTACAAATAACACAATAGATTATAGTATAAAGCTTTACAGTTACAATGGATCTCTGATTTAAAAGTGTTGCCTAGTCCTTCAGATGGGAGGAAAAACACAGTGTGCTCAATGTCGGGCATGTAAAATAAGCGATATTTAAGTAATAATAATATTGCCATTTAAAAAGCATGTTAAGGTGTTGTTGGTTGTTATATTCACTGATTACTTACTGGGTTTTAAAACAAGAATGTTGTGAGTTGAGATTTAAAATTGACTGTTGCAGTTTATTCCATAGAACAGTCCAAGGCACGTTCTATTCCATAGAACAAGAAAAGGCATGTTTTCCAAGTTGTAAGTTAAAAGCTAAAGATTTTAGAAGATGATTTTTCTGAGAATGGAGACGGGGTAGTACAGGGTTCTAGAAGACTTTTTATATAAGATGGAGCTTGGTCGTTTAACACTTAGAAGATGAAGAGGAGTAACTTGAACATAACACTTTGTTGAATTCAGAACCAATGTAGGGATAGCAATACAGGGGAGATGTGTTGATGTTCTCTAGTTTTAGTGAGGAGTCGAGCTGCTGACGAATACGAGAGAAGCATTTACCTATATAAATGAAATGGGGTTTAATGTCTTACTCCGAATGGGCTAATTAAGACGGGCATACACCATACAGTGTGCTATGAGTGAAACTTTGCCTGGGCAGCGGCACTTTGGCCTACTCTTATATCAAATTCCAACTGTCAAGGGATCTTTTACGTGCATTCCAATGTATACACGGGTCCTCGGTTTTCCGTCCCATCAGAAGGACTAGACAGCTGTCCATATCAGACCCTCCATTCTGCACCACTGACTAGGGGAAACAACGCCAGAAAATCATGATGAACCTTCTTGGCCAATGCAGGGATCGAACACGCGACCTCCACCTCCGGACTGGCGAGCCAGCATCTTACCACTTAGCCACCGTCGCTCCCACTCTATAAATGTCTATAAAGTTGATGATTTAATAGTAGACAAGTTATTTACCTATCAACAGCATGATCTTGATTATTTTGAAATGTATTTGTTAATTTACGAATCAGGGCGTAATAAGCACGGCGTACTGTACTCTCCTTTTCCAAGCCACAACCTTCCAGTCCGTCAGCATAATGCAGAGGGAAATTATCCTGATGTGAAAACAATTCCTGGAAAAACAGGACTAGTGTGATCTGAAATAAAAATGTAACGTACGTAAACATGATATGTCCGAGAAATGATAGGCGACGTCTAGAAGAACCCTGTGGTCTCCAGTGAGCTTCGTTAATTGAGGTTATGAACGACTGATTCCATATTTATAATATCCAAATAAACAGTCCCTTTGGTCGGATTCTCATCCAAACAACAATGCCTGAACATAATACAGCAGCAAACTTAGGCCATATTTGTATGCTTACTACAGAGACCAGTGGGCTTGTTGAACCAATCACATCACTTCCGGTTTTAATAAAAACTAATTTCTCGCTTACAAAAACTTTTTTGCTTGTGTTACAGAGGGGATTATTTATCAATATATATTTAAGATTTATGGAAACCTTGTCGAAAAATCGTTGGTCGTCCCCTTTAAGCACCTTCTACTGGCAATAGAAGAGAGAGAGAAATGGGGTTTAATGTCCACTCGACACAAACTAGGTCACTTTGAGACTAACACATGGTTCAATTATATTCCAATAACTAACTTGCGTGTAGGGGTCTTTAGCAGTGAGAGGAAACCGGAGGACCCGGAGAAAACCCATGAGGTTGGACAGGCGACCCTACTCCTTGTCAGGTATAACCAGGGAATCGAAACCACGCCACTTGACTCAATGACAGAACTAGTGATCAAACACGCACACGTTAAACATTCGGCCACCTAACCTCCCGCTGACAATAGAAACAAACCAGTGCAACCAATTCCATTCCTATTCTAGACCAGTTCGTTTTCAGAAGTATGGAACCAGTTTATAACCCACTTACCTGAAACAGGTGTTGTTCTGTAAGTATCTGTATTATTTCTGAAGCGAAGTGATAAACCTCACAAACAGCCGAAGCATATTGTGATCTTTCCTTCAACATCTGCTGTACCCTGATAAAAAAAAGTTCATCACAGTTGATGGGATCTTTGGACTGGTGATTCCATAACATAGAGAGAGAGAGAGAGAGAGAGAGAGAGAGAGAGAGAGGTCCACGTGACACAAACTAGGTCATTTTGGGACTAACATATTGTTGAATTTTATATCAATAATTCACATGCACATAGGGGTCTTTAGCAGTGGTAGCAAACTGGAGAACTTAAAGAAAACCCACGAGGTTGGACAGGCGACCCTACTCCTTGTCACATACAAGCGGGAAATCGAAACCAAGCCAGTTGACTCAATGACAGACATATGATACAACGCGCATGTGCTAATCATTCGGCAATCCAACCCCGCCTATTGAAGATAACTTAGGCCATGTAGTGTTTCCACTAAGGGTATTTTACAAGCACGCCAAGGATTTTTTGATGATTGCTCTGCTACTTTTTATACACACAACGGAGTTCTGGTGAGAATGAGTGATAACATTTCTATTGGGACAAGATTTTGTTGCCATTAACAAATCTTGCTTTTATTAATTCTAATAAAAAAATATACCAATCTACCTTTCAGTTGTCCAGGCTAAATCTTGTATAAATTCCATCACCAGACGAAACGATGGAAACTTTTCATACACTTCACTCTACAATATAAAAACATTACATGTTTGACATTTACATAGACCTCCCCCAAACTGGGGCTACTTAGACCTTCCCCAAACTGCCCTTACTGGGGCTCCTGAGACCGTCCCAAACTGCCCTTACTGGGGCTCCTCAGACCGTCCCAAACTGCCCTTACTGGGGCTCCTCTGACTGCCCAAAACTGCCCTTACTGGGAATCCTTAGATGTCATCAAACTGCCCTTACTGGGACTCCTTAGACCTCATCAAACTGCCCTTACTGGGCTCCTTAGACAGCTTGTCACATGAACAGCTGTGTTGTGCACACAAACTAGTAAATGTACATTTAATGCAGAAAGCTATTTGCATATCTCGGGCGGTTTGATGCAAACTGAAAAGAAATGGGGTTTAACGTCCTACTGTTCTGCTCCAGCTGGCCTAAGGAAGACGGGCATACGCCATACAGTGTGCTATGAGGGAAATTTTACCCGGACAGCAGCACTATGGCCTACTCTTATATTGAATTCCAACTGTCAAGGGATCTTTTACGTGCATGCCAATGTGTACACAGGACCTCGGTTTTTCGTCTCATCCGAATGACTAGGCAGCTGTCCTTGTCAGGCCCTCCGTCCTGCATCACTGACAAGGGTGAACCACGCCGGAAAATCTGGATGAACTTTCTCGGCCAATGCAGGGATTGAACACCCAACCTCCAGGTTAGCGAGCCAGCGTCTTACCCACTTAGCCACTGTGACCCTGTAATAATTGTTATAAATGTTTGACATTTAATAGTTAACCATATTACAAAAGGATTTCTGATTTAAACTAAAAAGTATAAATTGCTTTTTGAAATGGGGTTTAATGTGAACTCAACATAAACTAGGTCATTTTGGGACTAACATATTTTTTGATTTCATTTCAATAATTTGCTTGCACGTAGGGTCTTTAGCAGTGGTGGGAAACCGGAAGATCCAGAGAAAACCCATGAAGTTGAACAAGCAACGCTACACCTTGCCACATCAAGCAGGGAATCGAAACAACGCCAATGACAGACCTTGTGATCTAATGCACATGCATTTAACCATTCGGCCACCCAACACCCCCCCCCCATCCGTGTGTCAAAACACAAAGGTTAAACAGGTGACCCGACTCCTTGTTTAGTACAAGTGGAGAATCAAAACCTGGCACTTGACTTAATGATCTAACAAGCTACCCATTTAACCATTCAGCCACCCAACACAAACTGTGTCAAACACAAGAGTTTATTATTTAAACACAACATACCCTAATTAAAGGCATCTCGTTTTTCTTGTTGCCGATTTTTTTCAATGAAAGTTTGCTTGGTTTGTTTCTCATCTGTAATAAAAAAAAAATCAGCCATTCTTTTATTCTGGTAGAAAAAGTATGAGAAGCGGAATACAAAATACAAAACATCAATGAATAAGAGAGAGATAGAGAGAGAGAGAGAGAGAGAGAGAGAGAGAGAAATGGGGTTTACCGTCAACTCGACACAAACTAGGTCATTTCCCGACTAACATATGGTTTTATTATATTTTCAATAATTCGCCCACGTGTAGGGGTCTTTAGCAGTGGGAGGAAATCGGAGGAACCAGAGAAAACCCATGATGCTGGCCGGGCGACCCTACTTTGTCATACAGTGTGCTATGAGGGAAATTGTGCACTATGGCCTACTCTTATATCGAATTCGGGGATCACGGTGGCTAAGTGGGTAAGGCGCTAGCTCGCTAGCCTGGAGGTCGGGTGTTCGATCCCTGCATTGGCCGAGAAAGTTCATCCAGATTTTCCGGCGTGGTTCTCCCTTGTCAGTGATGCAGGACGGAGGGGCTGACAAGGACAGCTGTCTAGTCGTTCGGATGGGACGAAAAACCGAGGTCCCGTGTACACATTGGCGTGCACGTTAAAGATCCCTTGACAGTTGGAATTCGATATAAGAGTAGGCCGTAGTGCCGCTGTCCGGGCAAAATTTCCCTCATAGCACATTGTATGGCGTATGCCCGTCTTCATTAGCCCAGTTCGGAGCAAAACAGTAGGACGTTAAACTCCATTTCATTTCATTTCATTTATATCGAATTCAAACTGTCAAGGGATCTTTTATGTGCATATTAAGGTATATACGCGATCTCGGGTTGTTTGTCCCATCCGAACGACTAGACAGCTCCCCCACTGACATGGGGAAACCACGTCGGAAAATCCCGATTAACTTTCTTGGCAAATGCAGGGATCGAACATGCAACCTCCAGGCTAGCGAGTCAGCGTCTTACCCACTTAGCCACCATGGCTGAATTATTCTATGAAAGAAATTACATCAACTTACATCAGCTTTTAGTTGAACTTTAGTTAATCCTGCAAACTTCAACAAAAATTCAGCTTTCTTCTTACAGACACTAACTGTTACAAAAAAAATACACATGACAATTAATTTAAATATTCTCAACAAATAATTAATAACAGATGCCAACCGAGGGTCAAATGTTAGAAAAAGTATCTCAAAAACTCAGCAAGGGCACAAAACATATAAGCCATGGTCAGCTTTAAACTGGATACAAGTACGAATTAGATGATTTTTGGTGATTTGAATATATATTAAATGAATGGGAAAGAAATTAGTGCTAGATACACACTATTAAATGATACCCAGACTACAGTGTCTACTGCCCAGACTTAGTTAAAGACACCACTCAATTGCTTCAAAAGATAGATGCTACAAACAACAGATCTATTCCTAAGAATGGTAATCTAATGAGCCTTCAAACCGTCTGTAATCTAATGACCCATCAAACCATCTATAATCTAATGACCCATCAAACCATCTGTAATCTAATGACCCATCAAACCATCTATATCTGTAATCTAATGACCCATCAAACTGTCTGTAATCTAATGACCCATCAAACCGTCTGTAATCTAATGACCCATCAAACCATCTGTAATCTAATGACTCATCAAACCATGGTTTGTGTAACCCGTTTCTATTGATTGGACGTTTCTCACATGAAAACGTGGGCGTATGAATATAACATCTTTACCTGGATCTTCTTCCAGGGACATTTCACCTTCATTAGCTTTTACCTTCTGTCTCTGGCTAACCTGTCAATCAAATATGGTAATCAATATCAAAAGAAACTTTCTGAATGGTGTATGTAATTTTCAGACAATATCTCCTTTTTCATGGATGGGGTTGGATGGTCGAATGGTTAGCGTGTAGGGGTCTTTAGCAGTGACCCTACTCCTTGCCACGTACAACCAAAATCATTTCAGTTGAATCAATGCCAGACCTATTGATAAAGCGTGCACGTGTTAACCATTCGGCCATCCAGCCCCCCCACCTTCCCCGACAGAGTAGGGTCACCTGTCCAACCTTGTGGGTTTTCTCTAGGTCCGTTGGTTTCCCCCTACTGCTAATTATATTAAGACCCCTACTCACAAGCGAATTATTTAATCAGAAAATAACACTCAGGACTTGCTCATGAGCATGCCACGCTCGTTAAGAGCTAAATTTACGCATGTAATTTACCTGCACACATATTAAAGATACAATATGGGAGATTAGATAAAAGAGCTGACAGTTCTCACTATAATAGTTAAAAACTAGATAATGTAAATAGAATATGCTGAAAATTTCAGTCTAATTGATCCACTCTGAACCAAGATATTAGTGATTCTATCATCATTACTAAAGTCGGTACGATAAAAAAAAAAAGTCTCGATTATCCATTTTTGCATTTAATCATTAAAGAGCATTAAGCAGCAAATCGATTCCAAATCCAGTGACAATCAGACATATACGATGACATCGAGAGTTGATTATGGTCTGGATAAGTTAAAAAATGTCTAATTAATAATTTAGATAACATTTCATGCCAAAAGAAAGACCTGCAATTGGCAGATTGAGCTCTTGTATAATTTATGTTTAAACTAATTAATAATATAAGACATTGAGCCGACTATGATGCTTGCAATGTAATCTCTTTTAATTTTATTGGTTGATGAAATAATTAAAGAGATACTCACCAGTGACATTCGTATAGATTCTGCTGTATTATAGGCCTGGACAATTCCTTCTGATACGGACATTTCACCCTTGTTCTTCACTGTAAGAATAATCAAAATCATATAAAACATTTATATATTATAGAAAAATCTAGACAGATCTGCAATTCCCGAACTTATAGCTATGTTATCTCCCTTTAACACGCAGACATGTGAACAATAGAGAGAGAGAGAGAGAGAGAGAGAGAGAGAGAGAGAGAGAGAGAGAGAGAAATGGGGTTTAACGTCCACTCGACACAAACTAGGTCATTTCGGGACTAACATATGGTTTTTAATTTTATTTCAATAATTCGCTTGCACGTAGGGTTCTTTAGCAGTGGGAGGAAACCGGAGGACCTCGAGAAAACCCGGTTACCTCCCACTGCTAAAGACCCCTACGCGCATGCGAATTATTGAAATAAAATTAACACATAAGATAGTCCCGAAATGACCTAGTTTGTGTCGAGTGGACATTAAATCTCTCTCTGCCTCTCTCACTCGCTCTGCCTCTATCTCTCCCTCTCTCTCTCTCTCTCTCTCTCTCTCTCTCTCTCTCTCTAACTTACAATATCTTTCCAAATCTTCTCGTAATTGTTGTGTATGCCACAAGAGGGCCAAGAAGACGGAAACCACCGCCACGTCCACATCCTCCCCACCGACTTTACCAACATTCGACCTCTGTTGACGACATCTAAATAACATAAAAATAAATCAATGTCACACCACAAAACTGACATTACAAATAATATAAAAAAATAATTATGCAAAATAATTATGCAAAATAATTAAGATAATTATGTAAAATAATTATGTCAAATAATTAAGATAATTATGTCAAATAATTAAGATAATTATGTCAAATAATTAAGATAGTTATGTAAAATAATTAAGATAGTTATGTAAAATAATTAAGATAATTATGTAAAATAATTATGTCAAATAATTAAGATAGTTATGTAAAATAATTAAGATAGTTATGTAAAATAATTAAGATAATTATGAAAAATAATTAAGATAGTTATGTAAATAACTCTGTAAAATGTTTACTTTTTCAGGAAATCTATGGATAGTGGAGACTTGTTAGTTTCTATTTCAGTAAAAAATTCTAATAAATGGATTGATTCATCTGTTGCCTGAAAATATAAAAAAGAAAATTCAAGCTTTAACTTTAACATTTGGGTTTACACTTCTTCTTTTCTGCACCAACTGGAGAGAGAGAGAGAGAGAGAGAGAGAGAGAGAGAAATGGGGTTTAACTCCACTCGACACAAACTAGGTCATTTCGGGACTAACATATGGTTTAATTTTATTTCAATGATTCGCTTGCACGAAGGGGTCTTTAGCAGTTAGACAGGCGACCCTACTCCTTGTCATGTACAACTGGGGATTCGAAACCACGCCATCCAACCCCCCCTTCTGCACCAACTGGGCTAATGGAGATGGGGATATGACATGCACTGTGTCATGAGGCTCTTTTACATACACGCCAACAAATACATAGCTGGACCTTGGTTTGGCATATAAATCAGGAGCCACAGTGGCTAAGTAAGTAAGATGCTAGCTCGCTAGCCTGGAGGTCGCGGGTTTGCTCCCACCGAGAAAGGTCATTGAGATTTTCCAGTGTGGGACGTAAAAGATCCCTTGACAGTTGGAATTCGATATAAGAGTAGGCGATCTTCATTAGACCAGTCGGAGCGAAAGAGGAGGACGTAAAAAACTTTACATTTCCTTTTGGTTTATAATCCATAGAAATAATTAGACAATTTATAGATGTGTGTTCCAATAGTTTGGAACGTGTCATGTCAATGGACAATTGTTGTATTTGGGTTTCTAGGTGGGTTGATTAAGAGCATAAGGTCTATAACCCATAGTAACGTTATTGTTGGCATCATGGCATCGTTACATAGCAAGTAGATTGCTGCTGACCATCCGAAACATGCACACATTCATATACATTATGCCATGTGTATAATTTATAGTTACAAAACTATGCCACAAAATATAATGATTTTGTACAACATCACAGCGGGGTTGGATGGCTGAATGGTTAGCGAGTGCGCGCTGTATCATAAAGTCTGTAATTGAGTCAACTGCCGTGGTTTCGATCCCCCGGTTGTACGTGACAAGGAGTAGGGTTTTCTCCGGGTCCTCCGGTTTCCTCCCACTGCTAAAGACCCCTACGCACAAGCGAATTATTGAAATAAAATTAAACCATATGTTAGTCCCAAAATGACGTTAAACCGCCATTTCTCTCTCTCACGACATCACAGTAGCCTATGTGGATTTTACAAATGGAAATGAAATGAAACAGGGTTTAATGTCCTACTGTTCTACTCCGACTGCACTAATAAAGACGGTTACCAATGGTGCCTCTATCCCTTTTTCAAAACTTGTGATGATACTTACAACCTTAAGTGAGAGAGAGTGTTGAAGTTTTCCAACCATATAGCCTCCACGGAATAATGAGGTCCAAAGTTCGCTGCGTAGAACTTCCTGATCGGTGGAATCATCAACATCTGTTACATTCTGTAGGCTATTCTTAGGTACAACTGGATAATACAAACAAACATTGTTGGTATTAACGACCAACTCAGTATCACATACAGGTCACAATTCAATGGAATACAATCACTGCTTATGACTCAGCGGCATTTTGACTAGTCATTATCAAGTAATGATAAAATATGAAAATGACTAGAGAAGCCTAGCTGAAATGTCGCTCAGTAATAAGCAGAAACTGTATTCCATAGAATTATGACCTGTATATTCCAGTTCAATTACTAAACAATCTATCACAGATCAGTATCAAATATCCATTAAGGCAGGACACTACCTTATAAAACACTCTGTATAGATTGATCTGTCAAATTTTGATATCAGCTAAAATTGCCCAAAATAGTTAAAATTTGTTGATTTTTCAAGTCGTGTCCAGCCTTTATATTATATAGTGTTAAATATTTAGTCATTTGTATAGGTAAATCAAACTTTTAACTTTTAACTTGCTTTTTCTGTAATCAATTTTTCACCCATATCAGGTCTTAGAAAATCAAATTCTCAAAATCTATGAGAGATAATGGTCTCTTCTTTGGAATACGATTAGTGCTATAGCTACTGTTTGCAATAAGGTGATTTTCAAAGTGTTTGTTATACATTTGGACATTTTATTGTACAAAATCCTTTTAGTGGTGTGTTCGGCCACACCCACTTGTTTTATGTGGGATGCATAATGTTCTTTATTAACATTCAAATAGTAAAATTTATGCCTTATTGCACTCTTTAATGCCTATATATGTTATTCCAAATCACAAATAGTTTGTTTCAATAAAATTGTTGAAGATTTTGATTTCCTAACATAGCCACCGTGAATATATAAAAAAATCCAATATGGCCACCATTTCCATGACAACAAATAAACATTTTGCGCTCAAATTATCAAATCTGATTTGGGACATCATATACTAATATTACACTAAATGGCAAGTTTCTGTTATCAATGTAAAATTCTTAGGTAGTGTCCTGCCTTAACAAATTGCTTTGCAACATTATGAGCTTTTTATGTTAATAAATGTTAAAATAATAATTTATACAACATTTGAAGTCAAAATAAATACCTGCAATAGGCAGATTTAGCTCTTACATAATTCATCCCTAATGCACCAAATTATTGCGATATTCATCATCAAAATCTCACCTGGATTAGAACTCAACACAAGGCCACAAAATCCACCAAATAATTTAGCCAGGCCAAGTTCAAGGTCATACGGCCATGACAAGGGAGCATCAGGAGTTCCTTTAGCCGTCACAAGGAATTTGTATCCCCATTCTGTATTTGATCCGTCTGATCGGAACAGGAAGTGAAGATTTGGCCCGCTGAATACAACTTGTTTTGGCCATTTTGGATTACCGACTTTCTGATCGAATTTTCTACTGATTCCCTTGCCATCAGTAAATTCCAGATAGTCATAACTACAAAACAACAATTTGAAAATTGAACATGTCTTGAAATAGTGATTTTGGCTGATTCTAACAAAATGTCAGGCACCAATAAACCAGCTCTTGACATTCTTAATTATGTGATGGACACATATCAAAAATATCATTAAAAACACAGAAAATAAAGAACAAATTTGTTCCAGACAATATGACAGGTGCCAGACAAAGTGAGTGGATTTGTTCCTGACAATTGTTAAATGACAGAGAAAAGGTCAATAAACCAATAAATCTCTCCATTTGATTAGAAATATTAAATCTACAAACCGTCTTTCTGTTTCTGATCTTGGATCAAAATCAACAACAAATGATGTGGCTCCAGGACAGCAAAATGTCTAAAAAAAACCAAAACAATGATATAACACAGTGACATATCTAAAATATAAAACAACCGATATATATATTAAACAGTGATCTATCTAAAATATAAAACAATAATTTGATAAAGCAAATGAAAATAATCTCAAATTTAAAAACAAAATCTTAAATTATGTGGAAATGTAAACAACAAAGAGAGAGAAATGATGATTAAGCACCACTCAACACAACCTAGGTCATTCCCTTTCTAGCAAGGGGTCGGTTTTGCTGAGGGATAAAACCGGATGACCCAGAGGAATTCACGAAGGTTAGGTAGACAACTACATTTCTTGTTACATACAGGTCTCCATCCGGAACAAGATCCTTTCCGTGTCCCCCCAAAACAATATTTATATGTGTGTGCAGGGGTGGGGTGGAAGTCCAGTGTCCCGGGTAATATTGGGCTGTGTGGAACATGCTAGAGTTGAATTCTAGCATATCTGACCCACAGTATATGTTTGACACTGGTTGTGCATTATGATTATATATTGAAAACCTCATTATTTTTTGCGGTTTGCGATGGGGCGCAAAAACTCAAAACCATGATGCAAAGTTGGTCATTGTGTCCCTCTGACTTAGCCCGTGCAGGTCTCCGATCAAATGAAGATAGTAAGTGAAGCGACAAAAAAACCCCCATTAAAAAAAGGAATCGTAAAAGATCGATCCAGAGGCTAACAATTGAATAAACGAATCATGATACTGTAATGGGGATATAATTTGTGCATTTATTCATTAAGCCAGCTCATTAATAGTTTAGACTGTATGATAAGCTTAATCCTTATTATTTCTATTATATGTAATTAGTGTCTTTAATGTTTCGGGTTTACAGACAGCGGCGCCGGTCTTCCTCGAGAGGCGAAGAAGCAGAGCTTACCTTGTATGGCTCCTCCCCCCCCCCTCTAAAGAAAATTTTGGAATATTTGACAGCTGCAAACACGTTTTCCTGCTATTTCAGCCCGGCAACAAAGCAACTTCAAAGTGGTCTAATATAGCCTAATTAAGGTGGCTGACTCAAAATTTCAATCAATCGTTTACAGTCCACGAAGACGGGACCGTTGGGAGAAAATTTTGAAAATTGAACTGCCGCAAACGCGTTTTCCTTCTATTCCAGCCTGTGAATACAGTAATTTCAAAATTTTTATAATATAGCCTACCTGGCTGACCCGAATTCCAAACAACCAATCAATCGACGCGGGGTAAGGGGGCCTTACCCTCCCGGAGAAAATTTTGAAAATTTAACCACCGCAAATGCGTTTTCTGCTATTCTAGCCCTTCTAAGCAACTCCAAAAGTATCCAATGGTTTTGTAACCGAAATCCCATTCTGAATTCCAACCATCCAATCAGACTGTTGCAGCTGCATTCACATATAATAATCGATGCCCGAAAAATGTCGCACAAAGTAGAGTGGCTCCAGACAAAATGTTTTAATCCATAGTCAACTCAGTAGAAATTCGTGGTATTCAATTAAAAGAGAAGTAAAATATGTGTTTTATTAGGGCTCGATGACAGTTAGGGAAGCAAAACTAGAAATGCCCGAAAAAATTTCAGGTTTACAGACAGTGGCACCGGTTTTCTTCGAGTGGCGAAGAAGCAGAGCTGATCTTGTATGGAACCCCCAAGAAAATTTTGGAATATTTGACGGCAGCAAACACTTTTTACTACTATTCCAGCGAGTAAATGATATTTTATGTTTTCTGGTATTAAACAGGATAATTCAAGTGTGTATTTATTACCGAAGATTTACACTGTTACACTACATCGATACTTCGATTCAACGATATATTGATATATCGTACCAGCACTATCTCTGAGCCACCACAGCTCCATTGAAACATATAATTTAAAAGATGACAACCAACGTACCTGTGATATATGTGAATTATTCTCGTAATTATGATTTGATTCCAATTCCCATGTTCGTAAAATGATGTCATCTGTCTTAGACTCGGCCCATTTATCACATGACATCTATAAATAAAACCAGTAAAATGAGTATTTAAACTCAAAATGTAAAAATATGAAGCAAAAGATATTTCTATATCTACTCTCCAACTGTTTAGACTCCCTTTATGTGCACGCCAACTGTCTAAGCTCATTTTAAGGGCACCTCAACGAGTACGTGAGTAAGTCTCGGCTATGCGTCCCATGCGAACCACTAGATGATGTTTCTTACCGGGATCTTCTGGTTATTCAGTCAGCAACTCATGATTAGGGTTAGGGTCCCTCTGTGGCAATATAAAAGAGAGAGAGAGAGAGAGAGAGAGGGAGAGAGAGAGAGAGGGAGAGGAGAGAGAGGGAGGGAGAGGGAGAGAGAGAGAGAGAGAGAGGGAGAGAGAGAGAGAGAGATTTAAGGTCCATTTTGCGACTAACATATGGTTCAATTTTATTTCAATAATTCACTTGCACGTAGGAGTCTTTAGCAGTGGGATGAAACCATGAGGAGCTGGAGAAAACCCACAAGGTTGGACAGGTGACCCTACTCATTGTGACGTACAGCCGGGGAATCGAAACCACGCCAGTTGACTCAATGGCAGACCTTATGACACATTGCGCACGTGCTAACCATAGGGCCATCCAACTCCCTTTCTTCCTTATAATAAATGAACAATCCAACTGTGATATCAACATAATTTCTTGCATCACTTTGTCTATAAACATTGAGATAACTCAACATTTCAATAGGCTTCTTCCTTGTGACCAAATGATGGCGAAAAGAAGAGTAAGACTAGAAGCGACTCCCACAGAGAGTTTAACTTTCTTGACATACACCAGGATCGAACATGGGACCTCAAAGTTAGCGACAAACATCTTACTCACTGAGCCAAATGTAACTTCACATACCTTAGGAAATACATCAGGAATTTTAACTGCTATGGTTTCTAGTTGTACTAACAATGGCTTCCACGATTGTAGAAGCATAACATGTGATTTGGAATCTAGTTTGGGACTCAAAAAATTTAATATCAGGACCTGAAAATATTAAACAAAAATCAATATCAGAACACAAAAATATCAAATATAAAAAAAATTGATATAGGAAAAGGAATCAAATAAACTGCAAATATGATCATACTACAGACCAAAATATAATTCACCAAATAATAATATCTGATATATGTAATAATAATATCTGAATTATGTAATACTATCTGAGTTATGTAATAATATCCGAGTTATGTAATGATAATATCTGAATTATGCAATAATATCTGAATTATGCAATAATATCTGAGTTAAAGTAATAATATCTGAATTATGTAATAATATCTGAGTTAAGTAATAATAATACCTGAGTTATGAAATAACTAATATCTGAGTTATGTAATATCTGAATTATGTAATAATATCTGAATTATGTAATAATATCTGAATTATGTAATAATAATATCTGAGTTATGTAATAATATCTGAGTTATGTAATAATAATATTTACCAATTGACGAACTATAGATGATAAAAATGGTGGCTGTAATGTACTGGACATTTTAACCTGAAAATATCACAAATATTAAAATCTGCCCGTCCATCGACATTTTTCTTCCACACAAACATATGACATATTTTCTTTCATAGACTGGGTCAGTGCTTTCACTACAAAATTTTGATGGGCAATCCAAATATTTCTTCCAAAGAATATAAATAAAATGAAATGGCGTTTAATGTCCCTCTTTTCTACACCGACTGTGCTAATGAAGATAGGAATAGGCCATGCTTTGAAGGAAATTTGTCACAGAAAGTAACTGTATTCCAAATGTCAAGGGTTATTTTACGTGCATGTCAATGTCTACATGGGACGGAAGATTTTTGTCACAACCTGTGTCATGGAGAAAAGACACTAGGGTAACTTTCTGGGAAAACACCGGGATTGTACCTCAATCTCCTGGTTAGTGGGCCAGGGTCTTACCCACTGAGCCACTGTGGCAACATAAAAACTATATTTACTTACAGGGGCACTGGGTCAGATTAGATAAAGAGCTGACAGTTCATGCTATAATAGTTAAAAAGTAGATAATGAAAACAGAATATGCTGAAAACTTCAGCACCCATGCTTCACTCTGAACCTAGATATTAGCGATTCGATTTTAGGCTAGACTCGATCGCCATTACTACCATTATTACGATAATAAACAAAGTCTCAATTATACATTTTTATGGTTATTTCATCCAGCACAAAACATATTCAAATATCGCAGACATCCGATGGCATCGAAAGTTGATTATGGTTTGGATAAGTTAATTAATGCCTAATCAATAATTTAGATAAAGAAAGACCTGCAATAGGCAGATTTAGCTCTTGTATAATGTATGTTTAACAAAGATGTCCACTTACAAGATGAGCTGGAGTCCTGGATATCAAGGTTTCCATAACTTCTACAGCTCTTGTAGCAACATGACAGGCATCTGGTTAAATAAATATAAATACTTTTCTACTACTTGTAAAATAAACTTGTATTGAGAGAGATAGCTATGGGTGTTAATGTCATTTCAATTTTATTTCATTAATTGGCCTAAGCATAGGGGTCTTTAGCAGTGGGAGGAAACTGGAGGACACAGAAAAAACACACGAAATTTGACAGGCGACCCTACTCCTTGTCACGTAGAAACAGGGATTCAAACTCAACACCACTTGACTCAATGAACACCATTTAGCAACTTGTATTGAGCTTAGTTTACAAACCCTCCCTCTCCCATCAGATTATTTAACCCAAACTTATTTGGTATTGTCTAATATTGCCACCTAGTTCTAAGCAGCATATCTTGTTCGATTTCACATTCTCTGAATGAAAAGTTTAAGTATTTACATTGTGTTGTCATATCCATGGCAACTTTCCTCATGGCTTCATCCTCTTCATTGAGTAGCTTAGAACACCAAGCCAGTAGACTTGATTGTAAAGACCCTGTTAATTGTATAAGATATGTCAACTGTTCATTGGTTGATTCCTCGACACTGGTAAAAGTAAATTCTTGACTGGCTACCACGATTAATGTCTTCATCACGTCTAACACACTTGTGACATTGAAAGACTGAAATAAAGATAAAATTTGATTGAAATACAATTTATTCACCACAACACAATTTTGGGACTGACAAATGAAATGGGGTTCAACATGCCACATTTTTTCACCAACTGTGCTAATGAAGATGGGCATACGACATGCACTGTGCAATGAAGGGAACTTGGAGTGCTGAACTACAGTCTTTACTACTTTGATCTCGACTGCCAAGGGAATCTGTGGACACAACAGACGTGTTAAGGACCAGACTGTATAGACTTCCAGCGGGCCACTGTGCTTACCAATAAGCATGTATATCCAATTTTTTTAACTGTACATACACCCCTGTGGTTTCTTATCAGCTGTTTTCTGTCATGCACAGGAGTAATAACGTTCTGGAGAACCCTACCCTATTGAAGAAGAATAAGGGTTCTTTCATGTGCACCCCAACATGTACATGGGTTCTCCGAACAACTAGATACTGTATGGCACTGCAGGGATTCTTTTGTCCCATCCGAATGACTACACACTGTTCCTGTCGGGACCCTTCATCCTTCACAACATTGGCAATTAATTTAAAGCTAGAAATTGACTACCCAGTGTGGGAAGTGGCATGGGTTGGAAGTTGTTATGAAGTTTTCTAGAATGACATGTCTGAGTGGGAAGTGGTATGAAATGTAATGAAATGAAATGATAATGGGGTTTAACGTCCTACTGTTCTGCTCCGAACTGGGCTAATGAAGATGGGCATACGCCATATAGTGTGCTATGAGGGAAATTTTGCCCGGACAGCGGCACTACTCTTATATCGAATTCCAACTGTCATGCCAATATGTACACGGGACCCTGGTTTTTCATCCCATCCGAATGACTAGATAGCTGTCCTTGTCAGGCCTCCGTTCTGCATCATTGACAAGGGGGAAACCACACCGGAAAATCTTGATATGAACTTTCTCGATCAATGCTGGGATAGAAAACCTGACAACCAGGATAGCGAGCCAGTGTCTTACCCGCTTAGCCACAGTGATCCCCTATATAAAGGGAACGGCCACACATGTGTGAGTGGGAAGTGATATGATGTGTTCTAGAATGACGTGTGTGCTAAGTGGTATGAGATGTTCTAGAATGACAGGACTGAAGTAAAAGACTCACTTGTGTTGGTACTTTAGGTAAATCTAATAAACCCTGTGGATCAACAGAACTAAAAAACTGACATAAAGACTGGAAAACCAATGCTACTGAAGGTGCTGTTGTCAAGTTCTGTTAAAGAAAAAAAATACAGGGTTTTCAATTATCAAAATTATATGTTTGTAAAATATAAACTATACAATCAGTTTTGAACTGGGTAAAAATTAAAATTGTCTTAATCCTTGGAGGAAAATATCTTTAAGCCTGAGGGGATTTATTTTTATGCACAGAGCAATATATCTTTAAGCTAGTGGGAACATCTTTCAAAGCAACTGTTTAAATAATCAGTGAGAGGCAAAAACGTACGTCAACATTATTCATCATAGTAAACAATTTCTTCCTTTTCATCTCTTTATTAGGGAAAAATAATGATGCTCCTGTGAAAATAAAATAAATTTATCTAAATAGTTTGTATATAATTATAAATTTGAAACACAGGTTTATAATATAACATGAACTTCTGACAAAAAATCTAACAAAAAGTCGCCAACTGTTAAACTTGAGTCAAAAACGATCTCCAATTAAACGTTTTTATTATGAAATTTTGTTTTATAACATTGTATCACATGAAATAGGATTTGCTGAGATTGACGTCGGACATTTAAGTAAACCTCTCCAACAGTAAAGTCAAAATCACTCTTCTATAAAAAGCTTGTATTTTGTGATTCATCAAGAATGTTTTATAGAAACTTATCATCAACTATATCATCTATAGAAACTTACCATCAACTATGATATATAGAAACTTACCATCAACTATGACATACAGAAACTTACCATCAACTATGATGTATAGAAACTTACCATCAACTATGATATATAGAAACTTACCATCAACTCTGATATAGAATAGAAACTTACCATCAACTATGGCATATAAAAACTTACCATCAACTATGATATATAGAAACTTACCATCAACTGTGGCTTATAGAAACTTACCATCAACTATGATATAGAATAGAAACTTACCATCAACTATGAGTTGTTCAGACAGTAAATATGTTTGACTTGTTTTATCTATTTCAGTAGAATCTATGACATTACACAGATAATGGAAGACTTCATCAGATACAACCTGTAAATACGATAAAATACGATAAAATTACTATAGCGTTGCTTCAGTCTGGGCCGAGAAAAACTCATTTTAAAACCACTGTAGCCGATATGATAATGAACAAAGTCTTGATTATCAATGGATGTTGAACAGCAGATCTGGTTCAAATCCAATGAAAATCGGACACAAATATATGGCATTGAGTGTTGATTATGGTCTTTTCATGTTAATAAATGTGTAAATAAAAATTTATATAACATTTTAGGCTCTTTCTTAACCCTTAACCGGTCATTGTCAACTATAGTCACCACAACGTTGTGTATACAGCTAAGTGGTCACGGTCGACTAAAGTTGACCACAGCAAGAACCTTTTTTATAAGCCGCATTTGAGTATTTAGTTTCGTATTTAATTGATATGGCCACGCATGCATGTCAGACAGGAACTTGTCTTGTCAAGGGCATTGAGAAAACCATGTCTTTGTTCAACATTTTTTTAACGAAAAACGTAATTTAACAGTGTCAGGAACGTTATAAGACGCTCGAAGTGGTTGAGATACTTATGAATTATTCTGAATCGGATTATATCGATGACACCAATTCTGAAGACGGTATTTCTGATGAAAAGGATTTAGAATGATTTGCAAATTATAGATCAACTTATCCCCAGCAACTTTTTTATTGGTGTCAAAGAGTCTATCACTTATAATTATTCGGCAGTAGTCGATCGAAATAGGCATACAAAATATTTCACGTCAGCCTTTATTTAGGGTGACCACTTGACGTCATAACATCAAAATGACGTCGACCAGTTAAGGGTTAATAGGCAGATTTAGCTCTTGCATAATGCATGTATAAATATTTGTTATGATATATATATGTATAGCTAGTTCTGTAAGAAGAAAAATTACCTTGGCCGAGTCGGAGAGTGGAATCATGACAGGTGTCAGACCATGAAGTAATTTCAATATCTTTAAACTACAGGTTTTCCATCCAGCATCATCACTAAAATAATTTACACAATATCAATAATTTCTTCATTCTTCATTTAAAAACAAGAAATGAAACCTTAAAAAATTATCAGCTGTTTGTTAAGCGAATTATAAAAATAAAATTTGAATCATATGTTAATCTCAAAATGACCTAATTTGTATTGAGTGGAGTTAAATTTCTCTCTCTTTCTCTCTCCCTCTCCCCCCCACCCCACAAGTATTAAACTATTAAACACACCTTGCCTTGTACACAACACTCACTATCACCCACAGCTAAACAGAGTGACAGTTCTAAGTGTAAATATACCCTGCCTTGGACACAACACTCACCATCACCCATAGCTAAACAGTGTGACAGTTCTAAGTGTAAATATATCCTGCCTTATACAAAACACTCACCATCCCTCATAGCTAAACAGAGTGACAGTTTAAGTGTAAACATATCCTGTGTCCTTGTATAACATCTGACATCCACATTTTTCAAGATCACTTTACCATAAAATCAGCCCAAAAATACATGTCAATTTCGTTAATCTTTTAACAAATTATGGCATAAAATGAAAATTACAACCGTGCACACATTGGAGTGCATGTAAAAGAACTCTTGATCTTTAACGTGTATGCCAATGTATACATGGGACCTGCTTTTTGTCCCATCCGAACGACTAGACAGCCGTCCTTGTCAGGTCCTCCGTCCTGCTCCACTGACTAGTGGAAACCACGTCGAAAACCCTGATGAACTTTCTCAGTCAATGCAAAGATCGAACACACGACCTCCAGACTTGTGAGCCAGCGTTTTACCCACTTAGCCACCATGGCTCCCTCTTGGAGATAGTGACACACTAACAATGACAATATCAAAACATCAAACATAACCCCTAGAATGGTTGCCATCAGTAGGCTAAAACCACAGTATTTTCGTTGTATAATACAGTCGTAAATTTTTTTTATGAATTTGTATTTGTATGTTCTTACCTATCTTTAAACAGTTTATACAGAGTCCATATTGTTTCAAGGTCGACACCCTGGAAGTCGAGAAAATCACCTCGTGATATTTTACCTTTCTTCTTGACCTGATAAAATACAATAATACAATTATTTATACACCGGATAAAATAAAAGGTACAGGTAATTATTTATACAGGTATTTATTCATACAGGTAATTATTTATACAGGTAATTAACTGTAATCAATAGATATATATTTCATAAACATTTCGCTAGGATTGTGAGAAAGCTTTAGTTTGATTTAGTTTGAATAGTTGAAAATCTTGAAGGACTAGGAGATAACTTTAGATTCAAGAAACACAATCTTCACTTGTTGAAACATTACAGTGTAATTAAAGGTGCTAAATCGCTAATATTTTGGACCTAGAAATTGGCACAAATGAGTCGCAACACATATAATAATGTAATATGAATTTATATAAACTGTTTTACATTCAATCGTGTCCGTTTTACTGTGAATTGTCATCAGTTATGTTCGGCGAAATACGCCAGAAGTCTCAACCACAAGTCAGTTTCTAGCGTCTGGTTATTCCAGTCAACACCGATATTATTTATTGCGCATGCTCTCCAGATAAGAATATGATATCACTGTTTGACATGACTTGTGGAATATGTCTAACCTCATTCTTTGAGCACCTTGTTACAAATGGCGCTAAAACGCATTATGGTACACGAGTTGTGTACCAATGGTAAAATGTTTATTTTGTCTTAAATGATGGATATCAGAAGCCCATCTTTTCCAGGTAAAATCACAACACCAATGCTGATTTAAATTGCAAAAAAATTCGTATTTTCAATGTCGAAGATTTTGGATGATATTGAGTTACGGACTTAGCTACGTCACTGTAACCCAGGTATCAATTAATCTTGTGTATCTAGCACTAATTTCTTTCACATATGTTTAATATCAAATCTTTGTTTAAAAATTTGTAAAAATCGTTTAAAATCACCAAAAATCATCTAATTTGTACTTGTGTCCAGTCTAAAGCTGGCTGATTAATTTTGATAATGAATGTCCAATTTACAAGAATTTAATTTCCTGACCACTGTTCAAAAGTTAATCATTATACATCATTAATCAATTGGGTTGTTTATTTTTTAACAGTGATTGAGGAATTAAACACTTGTAAATTGGACACTCATTATCAAAATTGAATGGTCAGCTTTAAACTGGACAGAAGTACAAATTAAACGATTTATGGTGATTTTAAACAGTTTTTACCTATTTTTAAACAAATATTTGATATTAAACGAATGTGAAAGAAATTAGTGCTAGATACACAAGATTAAATGATACCTGGGTTACAGAGTACTTTAAATATAATAATTATCCATAAAACTGTTTTAATTGATTGTGTTCCCAATTACTAAATGCCTCTCAAAGAAAACAAACATCTACTGATTAAACATACATTATACAAGAGCTAAATCTGCCTATTGCAGGTCTTTCTTTAGGCCTAAAATGTTATATAAATTGATAATTTTCAATATTTTCATTTTACATTATCTATTTTTGAACTTTCATAACAAGAATGGTCAGCTTTTTATCTAAATCTTACATAATGTATGTTTAACATGCAGAATGAAAACAATGTCTACCTGATCGAGTGACAGATCAACGAGAAATGTTATAACAATTTGTACAATCTCTAGACTCGTACAATTTGGCTGTTTCTCAGGATTTAATGTTGGTAGAGACTAAAAATATAATATAACAAAAATTAATTGTATATTAAAATTATACACATAGGCGACTTTCTGTTCACACCATACAGAAACAACAACTCAGGTGAAACAGAATTACTCGGGTCCAACCGAGACTTTAACTGTTCTCCGGTCCCTAACGACTATATAAAGGGAAATGAAATGAAATCGGGTTTAACGTTCGAATTAGGCTAATGAAGACGGGCATACGCCATACAGTGTGCTATAAGGGAACTTTTTGCCTGTACAGCGGCGCTACGGTCTACTCTTATAGTGAATTCCAACTGTCAATGGATCTTTAACGTGCACGCCAATGTGTACACAGGACCTTGGTTCTGTTCAATAGACAGAAGAGGTGATATACTTGGTATAAGTGAACAAATTTTTACATGAAATTGTAGAAGATATTGAAAAATGTCTTCTTACCATCTTGTCATCCTCAAGATTTGGCAGTTTTCTAACAAAACCAAAAAACTTGATAGAAACCAGTCCAAGTTTGGATGCAGATTCTTGACGAGGTTCAAACAGTTTCACTAAAACAGTCTGAAAAATATAGAAAATCATTAAAAAGTTTCACTAAAAAAGCCTTAAAAATATAGAAATTCATTATAAATAGTGCAACACTCAACAGCTCAAAGGAACAAAATAAAGAGACAGAGCGACAAATGGAGTTTAATTTCCACTTGCTGAAAAGTTCATTCAAATTGTTCCACTATGAACCGAGAACTAAGCGATTGAAATTTCCACCTAGCCTCGATCATCATTACTAAAGTCAGTACGATAAACAGCATAGTCTCGATTATCCATTTAATCGTTAAATCGTGAAGGAAAGTTATGCAGTAAATCAGCTCACAATCCACTAAAGATCGCAGGCTATTGATGCCATCTAGAGTTCATTATGGTCTGGATAGGTTTAATTAATGTCTAATTAATAATTTAGATAACATTTCAGGCCTAAAGAAAGACCTGCAATAGACAGATTTAGCTTTTGCATAATGTATGTTTAACATAAACTAGGTCATTTTGTGATTAACATCTACAATTTTATTTCAATAATTGGTGCAGGGTTCTTTGCAATGGGAGGAATCGGATAACCCGGTAACCCCGAGAAAATTCATTCATGAGGTGAATGAGTGGCCTGACACCTTGTCATGTACAAGTATATATCGAAAGGAACCATACAGAAAATCATATATATCAAAATTAAAGGAAAATACCTCCGTAACGGCATACTTAAAAAAAACAAATGTAAAAAGAATAGTTAGCTCCCTTAAAGGTTCAGTTATTTTCAAAACATGGGTTACCAGGCATGAAATGAAATAAAATGGGGTTTAACGTCCTACTGTTCTGCTCCGACTGGGCTAATAAAGACGGGCATACGCCATACAGTGTGCTATGAGGGAAATTTTGCCAAGGTAGCGGCAATATGGCCTACTCGTATATCGAATTCCAACTACCAAGGAATCTTTTACGTGCATGCCAATGTATACACGAGACCTCAGGTTTTTCATCCCATCCTGCATTACTGACAAAGGGAAACAATGCTGGAAAATCCAAATGAACTCTCTCGGCCAATGCAGGGATCGAACAAAATACAATGTGACAGAGAGACCCCCTAAATCAATTTTAAAATGATATACATGTATGGCTTATTGTAGCCTCTATTTACAAATGTGGATCACAAAAGGACAGACAACTCTTAATTAGCATCAATTGACAAGAGAGTTCTCACCTTCCCTGCAGGGTACCAGCTAACAGGAACATCCATCTCGTCACTGTAAATATTTTATTAGAATTAACGTAAAAAAACAAATAATAATGTTTCGTTTCCGAAAATAAGTTGAGTAATGAACAGACTAATTAATTAATCAGCACTGCTCTACAAACTAAACATTTATAAACCCAACACTCATCTAATCTAAACAGAAATGAAATGAAATGAAATAAAATAAGATTTTAACGTCCTACTGTTCTGCTCCGGACTGGGCTAATGAAGACGGGCATACGCCATACAATGTGCTATGAGGGAAATTTTGCCCGGACAGCGGCACTATCACCTACTTTTATAACGAAATCCAACTGCCAGGGGATCTTTTACTTGCATTCCAATATATACACGGGACCTCGGTTTTTCGTATCATCCGAAGGACTAGACAGCTGTCCTTGTCAGGCCCTCCATTATGCACCACTGACAAGGGAAAACCACGTCGGAAAATACTGATGAACTTTCTCGGCCAATGCATAGATCGAACACCCGACCTCCAGGCTAGCGAGCCAGCGTCTTAACCAATCAGTCACCATGGCTCCCTAATCTAAACAGACCCTTTAAACTACGCAGCAGTAGAAACCCAATGGTTTTCTATGATTCTCAATCGATTTGAAAAGTTTTCCAACAATGGTTTGAAACTAAACATTAAATATAGAAACACCTGCTAAAACAATACAACTAAATGATACCTGAGTTATAGTGTAATGTAATAATACATTTATAAGTGAGTTACAACAGCAAAATGCTGCTCAGTTTACCAAGCCTGAACATAAATTATCACATAATGTATGTGCACGCTACATATATATAGAACTTGAGATCTCCTTGTTATCGAGCCAGTGCTTTACTGAGAAACCACGACTCCGCTGTCTATTATACATCAAGTGGTGTGAACATAGCTTACCAATCATCATCAAAGTGAAAGTAGCTGACAGGATTATCAGATTTACCTCCAACACCAGCAGACCTTTACAAATATAGAATATATTTATATCAATTCATGTGAGAAAATAAAAACAAGTGAAATAAATGTTTGTACTCAATGTTACATTTAACGTGAAATAAAATTCTTTTTCCATTAAATACACTTTGCTTGAGAGAGAACCCTCGTTGGAACGTCACCAGAAATAAATCTTTCAAGTAATTTGTAGTCAATATAATTGTGTCATGTGTTATTATCATCCAGTCACTAAATGTTGCTTAAACAACTGAATACACTTTGTTTACTTTCACTAAGGGTATTGAGTAATTAACAGATTAATTAATTTCTCAACACCGTTAGTGAAAGAAAATAGTTGTAAACCCAACACCATCATTATCTAATCTAGATGGAACATTTTAAACTACCAAGAATGGTTTGAAACGAAACAGAAACTCCTGCTAAAACAGCACAACTACATGATATCCAAGTTGAAATGTTACCTGATATTGACGCTGAATTTATAGGTGAGTTCATGCCAGTTATCATATTTGGAAAATTTTGTTACTTCTTCATCGTAATCAAACTCACCGCTAAAAAATAAAACATAACAACATTATAAATAAAAATAAAATATCAAGTTCGCAGGCTAGGAGACAGAGAGAAATGGGGTCTAACATCCACTCAACAAAAACTAGGTCATTTTGGGACTAACACATGGTTCAATTTTATTTCAATAATCCACTTTCACGTAGGGGTATTTAGCAGTGGGGGGAAATTGAAGGTTCCATAGAAAACCTCGAGGTTGGACAGGCGACCCTACTCCTTGTCACGTACAACTGAGGAATCGAAACTGCGATAGTTGACTAAATGGTCACCACTCAGCTAGGAAGATTCTAAACTAATCGTGACAGTGTATGCATTTTTATCTGGTTAAGATATCAAATATTTACATGGAATCAAATTTGACTAAATTTTTATTTCGGAGTATATCTCATAAACCATCCAACAAGATATCTTTATATAACTTCATACACATACCGGGGGATCAACCAAAACAAATTTGACTTGCGTTTTATTATTCAATTCCTGCTAATATGTAAACGTTATTAATCACATTGTTACAAAAGAGAATATATAAGGCTAATGAATAAGATTTCGTCAACTTACGTATGATTATAAACAAATATTAATCCTCTTCGTGGTCCTTTACCTCCTGGGGGAATCTAATAATAAAATTAATTATAATATTTAAACATTTCACTAGAAATAAATAATAACTACTGTTTAACAATTAAAAATATCTAAACATTCCAATAAAAATAAATAGTATCTACTGTCTGACAATTATAAGTATCTAAACATTCCTCTAGAAATAAATAATAACTACTGTCTAACAATTAAAAATATCTAAACATTCCATATCAATATCTATATCAAACATTACTGTCTGACAATTATATGATTTATACATTCCACTAGAAATAAATAATAACTACTGTCTAACAATTAAAAATATCTAACCATTCCATATCAATATCTATATCAAACATTACTGTCTGACAATTATAAGATTTATACATTTCACTAGAAATAAATAATAACAACTGTTTAACAATTAAAAATATCTAAACATTCCAATAAAAATAAATAGTATCTACTGTCTGACAATTATAAGTATCTAAACATTCCTCTAGAAATAAATAATAACTACTGTCTAACAATTAAAAATATCTAAACATTCCATATCAATATCTACAGTAGAATCTGTATTAAGCAGCCACCCAAGGGAATTTTCACAACTGACCGCTTAACGGGAGTGGCCTCTTAATAAAATCTCGTTGCTTTTTGTGCCGACATAAATTAAATATTACTCTTGGATGCATTGGAAGCGGTAAATTTGGCCGTCGCTGAATCTTGCGCCGAACGAAAATTCTTTACTCAAATCTCGGACATAACTTAACGGGAGTGGCCTCTTAATAAAATCTCGTTTGAATGGTATCATTCAACAATGGTCGTTGAATGGGCGATGTTTTGTTGAATTTTTTAGTAAAATAGTGACCGCTGGCCGCGTTAGAGGAGTGACCGTTGAATAAAGAGATGAAACAACAGAATTTCTACGGGGGGAATTTATCGTGACCGCTTACAAGGAGATGTCGCTGAATAGGAGTGGCTGCTCATACAGATTCTACTGTATATCAAACATTACTGTCTGACAATTATAAGATTTATACATTCCACTAGAAATAACTAGAGAGTTTACCATTCAAAACACAATTAAAGCAGTGAGAGAGAGAGAGAGAGAGAGGAGGTTTAGTGTCCACTCAAGACAAACCAGGTCATTTGGTGTCAATTTTATTTCAATAATTCCTTGAAACTATAGGCGTTAAAGATATGGGTCTTTAGCAGTGGGAGGAAGCTTTCAGACCCGAAGAAAACCCTCGAGGTTGGACAGGATTGAAGTGAGGCATACTGTTAAAGATGCGTTCCCAAAAAAGTATTTATCGGGTGGTTATTTCCATTAAAAGTATGGCAATTTTGGTATATATGGAAAGTGAGGCATACTGTTAAAGATGCGTTCCCAAAAAAGTATTTATCGGGTGGTTATTTCCATTAAAAGTATGGCAATTTTGGTATATATGGAAAGTAAAAATATCCAATCTTACTAGAAAAATACTGGATTCCCCAAAAATCACTCCTGGAGCGTATACAGGACAAAAATGTAAGGGTTTCCCTAATCGAAAGCCTGACGTCAATGGCTGCACGCAGAGATTTAGCGCTTGATGTACGTGTTGATAAACTTTATGAAGAGTTAGACGTACAACACTTTCTGAGATAAAAATCATGGAGAAAGATGCTGTCAGTGGATAATCTGAGAATTTAACTAGGCTTCGATATTTGTAATAAAGTCAGTGACTAAAGACAACATCGTCTTGTGTATGCAATGAATTCTCCTCCGAATTCGCACCAATTGCTAGGTACCGAGAGAGGTAAGTCACGTGACACAAATATGACCTCTTTTGATCGATTTTTTATAGCCAGGGTATTCTCTGACAATTGCAATGTTTTGAGAAGGATTTGAAGCAAAATTATGATAAATTATTTAGTTTGAATATGTTTTTAGTCCAAATATATCATTAAATCTCCCAGTTTGTACCCGGGAAAGATTCTTTAACATTTAACATGAGGAGCAATAATTTCAAGAAGTACAATAGTTATCTTACCTTGATTCTAAATTTAGTAAACTGAACGTAATCTTTACATTTAAAAAACAGATCAGTTCTCGTTTTACCCTCTTCTGTATAAAAAACTGGAATAAAACAACAAAAAAAATATTGAATTATCAAAAAAAAAAAATCCAAGTGGTTCAATTCTATAATCATTGAGTGGCATTTAGTTTTATACACAAGCACAACTTTTCGACAAGTAACCTCTCACAATGATATTTAATAAACTTGAGGTCAATATATATGAAATTCATAGTGAAATCATTTACACAGATTAAATAACTATGAATTTCATATATATTGACCTCAAGTTTATTAAACGTCTTATTTTTAGAATAAAAATAGTGACTGTATCCCATAAAAACTGTGTTCTATTAATGGTTAAATTTTGTTCAGCATTTACAATGATATGATGATTTACCTCTGATTAATGGAAATGAATCGAAACCTGAAGATGATATACCACTGTTGATATTTAGAGTTTGTTTTCTTAAAGGGGTATTAGATAAGATTAGATAAAGAACTACCGTATTTTTCGGTGTATTAGGCGCACTTTTTTAACCAAATATTTTATTTTCTAGAAGGGGTGCGCCTAATACATAATGTTAAGCGAATCCAGGCTTTTCCCGTGTAGACACCGAAGTCGGGAGTTCAACAAATAACTGCCCTATAATCAACACATGTTGACCGGGTGACGCTACCTCAAAAGTTTATGATAAATTACCACACAAATTAAACACAATACTGTTTCCTTTCGTGTCCATTTATATTTGTCAGTAATAATTTAGATAGTTTAAAATTCGTCAATAATTATCGCCCGTATTTCTGTTATTTTGTGCATAAAAATTAAAAAAGATGTCAACATTTTAGGCTATCCCGTGTATAGTATAGTGTTTGTCATAACCGGCAATGCAAACACCATCGGCTGATAGACTTTCAACGTTAACGATGTTTTAAAAAATAGGATACGCATTGTTAAAATTTTTTGCTAATTATACATCATATATTTCTGCTATTCCGTATACTCTTGGCCATTATCGGCAGTCCTCGCACGTCCCCGTTCAAGGTCAGTGGTGCTGTCAGTCAAGTTGACGAATAGGGCGGGATATGCATTCATACAAGCATTTTCATTGGCTCAATATAAGTCATTGGTAGTAAGGGTGGGATTAGAGTTAAACTGACATATATTGAAGTTGTTCTCTTGTCTACGATATCACCCCTGGTGGAAGTGGGCGGCAAACTCCAGAAACGACGACAACGAAGTTGTTCTGTCTAACCTGTTCTCGAAACGGCAAATCTTCACGGCGTCTATGATTGACAGTTAACCCATTCTTTCTCAATGTGTGGATAACATGCGGCGCTCTATCTATTTGCTTTATCTATTACCGCACTCTTTAGCGGTTCGTCTCGTAGTCATTCTGAATAAATTTATTTACTATACATTGCTGTAACTTATATATTTAGCCGTTTCAAGTTACCGATAGTTTTCATGCAATGAAGATTCACTGATTAACCTATTGTTATAATTTACCGGTATCGTTAATTATCTACCGGTGAGTTGTCATCGTATGCTTTATGAAGTTGTTTGTTGTTCACAAAATCATTGTTTCTTTGATTGGTATTAAAAATGCTATTGTCTTATGATACTGATAGATATAAATGGCCTCAATCTAGGTATTGTCATGCTGCGTGTAGTGGGCGAGACAATTGACACAATCGTTTGATTGTCAGTTGTTTGGATAGTATAAAATAAACTAGAATTATTGTTTCTCTTTTTACCGGTAGTCAGGATTTAAGCCGTGAGTAACTGATCATGATAAATTATTTCTACAGTTTTTATTTCATTTGTTTATCATCAATACCTATTCATTTATCACAGCCAATTGCTTGTGAATTTAACAGGATGTAATAGACAGCCATTTGTGTTGTGGGCGGGACTCTAACGACAATTTGACTACCATACAAGCGCCAGAATTACCACTTAAGTTATGAAACAATTCAATTGAAAGTTGTAATTAATATAAAGTCTTATGCAATTCAAAAAATGTATATAGAGTTTAATTTCATAAAGAAATATATATAAAGCTTGATACAGCTAAATATTATCGGTAATTATTATAACTGTAAACAGTCAAGTTTGGCCCAGTTACTGGAGATCGCCGGTGTATTTGAATCACGTATGGTAACTATGGTATGGCACCTGTTTCACAAGGCCCTGGAGAAGGGTGTGCCTAAACCATGCATTTTTATTTTTTCCTGAAACACCTCTGCCAAACTCGCCCTGCGCCTTATCTACGCATGCGCCTAATACACCGAAAAATACGGTAACAGTTGTTGCTATAATAGTTAGCAAATAGACAACACTAAGAGAAATTGCTCCACTCTGAACCTAGATATCGGCAAATTAATTACAGTCTAGTAATTATTGACATTGCATCGTTTTTACAATAAAAAATACGGTCTTGATTATCTATTTTTACAGTAACCGCATCAACCGCAAAATATATTTAATCTACATAATATTGTAGACATTCAATGGCATCGAGAGATGTCATGTTAATTAATGTCTAATTAATAGTTTAGATAACATTTCAGGCCTAAAGAAAGACCTGCAACAGGCAGATTTAGTTCTTGCCTAATGCATAATTTAAGTATATTTTAGAGTGGATAAAGTTGTAACAAGAGAGAGAGAGAAAGAGAGAGAGAGAGAGAGAGAGAGAGAGAGGTAGGGTTTAACGTCCACTAGGCCATTTTGGGACTAACATATGGTTTAATTTTATTTCAATAATTCGCTTGCGCGTAGGGGTCTTTAGCAGTGGGAGGAAACCGGAGGACCCGGAGAAAACCCATGAGGTTGGACAGGTGACCCTACTACTATGCCAGTTGACTCAATGACAGGGCTTATGATACAGCGCGCACATGCTAATCATTCAACTATCCAACCCCCCTGTGACTTTAGAATAATGTATTGTTACTAACCATGTTTGGTACCTTCCGATGTATGATTAATAACATTTTCTAATGATGTCATATTTTCTTTCCCTCCGTGACATCCTAATACGGTCATTGGTACAACACTTCCTGTTCAATTACAAAAACAAATAAAAATCTGGGTTAATGGTCCACTAAATATTATAAAATGAAATGGGTTTTAATGTCCTACTTTTCTGAACCGGCTAAGCTAATGAGAGCTATTATGCCCGGGTAGCAGTGCTACAGCCTACTCTTATATCGAATTCAAACTGTCAAGGGATCTTTTACGTGCACCTCCAAGACAAACAACAAGACGCTGTCCTTGATGGACCCTCTGTCCTGCACCACTGACAAAGGGAAACCATGCTAGAAAAACCAGGATCGAATTCCAAACCTCCTGGTGACCCAACGACACTTTACTCACCCAGCTCCCATATGCTCCTATCAGCACAAGAAACTTTCCTGCTCTGGGGAATTGCTCTTTAACATTTTTGGACAGGTAGAAAAAATAAATTCTACTAAATGAGACAATTCCAAAACGAACTTACCTAATTTCTCCCAACAGCTATTTTTAGCTTCCAGAGCAGACGCCAATAAAGATGCACATTTCAAACTGATATTAGGTTGTTCTGAAAACAAATATATATAACAGTTTTAATTAAAGCTGAACTCCGATTAAAAAAAACTACAGAAATAATTAAATAAAAAAAACTACCACCCTTCATAATCACCATACTTGTTTTCAATTTTTAGAACAAGCATGGCGATTGTACGACTTACGAAAACATAGGCAGGCCACGCCCACATCCAGTATAACCTTTTCAACCACACTGTCCACATCCGGCTGGAAATATTTCAACTACCAATTACCTCCTGACTGATTGACGTGTTTTCACTATCAGTTTACTAAAAACATTATTGCTACACAATTATTATATCTGATCAGGTACATATTATTTTACTAATTAGACGAAATAAGTAAACCACGGTGTACTTTTGCTCTAAAAATAAGAAACAACTGCCTTACCCCAAACAACAACAAATCTATGAACTCATGTTTAATCAGGAGAATCGAGAAATGAAATGAAATGGGGTTTAACGTCCTATGGCATACGCCATACAGTGTGCTATGAGGGAAATTTTGCCCAGGCAGCGGCGCTACGGCCTACTCTTATATCGAATTCCAACTGTCAAGTGAGAGATACATTATTATTGACTTACCGTAGAAATATTTGAGTATTTGTATCAAGCGAGCTACATGACCACGAGCTAGATTTAATGATAAGAGTAGATGTAATCCTTCAGCTTGTGTATTACCCTCGTTACTGTAACATAAAACAAATTAAAAATGAAAGTTCTTAAACAAGAAAACATGATCAAACCACTAGACAATTCGTTATTTTTTTAATTTTTAGAATCCGTTTCAGAGTACAAAATAATGATTCTGTTTAATGTAAATTATCACGGTAACCCGGGTATTATTTAATCTTGTGTATTTAACTCTAATTTCTTTCATTCATTCAATATCAAATCTTTGTTTAAAAATTGATAAAAATTGTTTAAAATCTCCCCAAATCATCTAATTTGGGCTTGTGTCCAGTTTAAAGCTGACCATTAAATTTTAATAATGAGTATCTAATTTGAAAGCATTAAATTTCTTGATCACTGTTCAAAATATGGAAAAAATGACGAGAAAGCCAGCTCAATGTTTTTTTACTTACATTGACATTTCCAGGATAAAACTGTCCAATTCTCGTAACACATGACGACTGAGGAACTGTGGTCGATCCGAACTGGCTGGACATAATGACAACGGTGGCATGTGTTCTAAGGCAGTTCTACAAATAAACAAAAACAGTTGTTTTAAAATAAGACATTGTCAGGTTCTCCCATTTCATTCATTGACAGTTCTCATGATGTTGGATAGGTGACCCTATTCCTTGTCACGTACATGCGGGGAATCTAAATCAATCACCTTGACTCACGTTAAACCATTCAGCCATGCAACCCCCCCCCACCCCGACGGGAAACCTGAGAAACCAGACAGACGACCACACTCTTGCCATGTACAAGCCTGATTATGATACAGATCTATATTTCGTTTTGTTTTCTTATACTTTCGATGGCCTACACTACATGAAGATCTGACCGGTTGTAGTGATAGGTCACATCAGGGGTCATATGAGTGGCTTTTGACACTATGATGTCAGACATTTGATTAACCAATCAGCGTTGGTATTTCTAGTGGGTTACCCACAGTTCTGGGCTCCTCATGCCAAAAACTTGCTGTAACAGACCGTTTCATTAGCTAATCCCTCACATCATCCAGAACATGAGTTATATAACAACTCGTCCAGATACCAGTGTAGTAAAAACACATATGCCTAAAACGAAATTTTGAACTATAAAAAACGAAACGAAACAGGATCTGTATTTTAATCAGATTGGCCATGTACAAGCCTGGGTACTGAGATGACAGACTGTATAATATTAACACCTCTTCCACATTATAATAATATTACCTTGTATGGTTGATAATGTGAGTTCGTAATTGTGGTGCTTGAGGCAGGGTAGCACCAACTAGAGATGCTAGAACTTGTAGATACCACGTAGCTGATGCATCTAACACACTTACACCAGGTTCTTTTACAACTCTATAAAATAAAAATAAAACATCAAATAAAATGGGGTTTAACGTAATACTTTTCTGTCTGACTGGGCTAATGAAGACGGGCATACAGTGTGCTATGATGGAAATTTTGGCCGGACAGTGGCACTACAGCCTACTCTTATATCGAATTCCAACTGTCAAGGGATTGAACGCTAATGTGTACACGGAACATCATGATTTTTTGTCCCATTCGAACAACTTGACAACTGTCCTTGACAAGCCCTCCATCACGCATCACTGACAAGAGGGAACCATGCTCTAAAATCTGGATGAACTTTCTCGGCTAATGCAGGGATCGAACACACGACCTCCAGGCTAGTGAGCCAGCGTCTTACCCACTTAGCCATCATGACCGCCACCAAAAAAAAATAAAACATTTTAAAAACTTAAAAATGACAAATAAAAACGAATAAAGTTAAATATTGTTTTTTGAAGGATTAATAAATCCCTTGCAAACTACAATATTGTCAAGGGGATATGGTTTCAAGCAGGTACACCTGTAGTCTTCACTCCAAATATTTGATGGGCCTCTTTTTTACCTGACTAAATCCAGGTAGCGGATTAAGAATTAACTACCTTTGATCTTGTTTCCTAAATCAAATGTTAAAGTTAAGTTAACAGATTAAAGAATGAACAAAAAGCATGAAAACTTAAATAAATAGCATAGGCTTACCTGTAGGCTACAGCTTTTAACGCATGTATTCTTGTATCACAACCATCGCTATGACAACGCTTTATATTTATCTGTACAACTAAAATATAAAACAGAAACTACATAGAACTGTCCTGGAATATAACTTTATCAGTCAGTGGGGGGACTACGTACAATTCACGTACTCTTCTCTTCGAATCCAATTTTATGAAAGATACCAATTAATACAAGGAACAACTAGATGCTTTTCCTTGTCCTAGTCAATAAGCATAGGTGACTTCAACACCTGGATCATACCAAATTCACCCAATTTTATTACTTACCTGGATAATGAAGTTTGACATTCTTCAATAAAACAAATTCACCAACTGTATTACTGAAAAAAAATTCAATATACATGAATTAATTTAATTATCATCTTGGTTTCGTTTTATTTTGCAAGAAGTGAGCATCGCTTTGAAAGATTGCGATCAATTACAAACGTCCACTCGAAAAAAAAAAACTAGGTTATTTTGGGACTAACATATGGTTCAATTTTATTTCAATTATTTCGCCTGTGTGTAGGGGTCTCGTTAGCAGTGGGAGGAAACCCACAAGGTTAGACAGGTGACCCTACTCCTTGTCACGTACAACCCGGGAATCGAAACCACGCCAGTTGACTCATTGACAGACCTTATGATACAACGCATGCACTAACCATTCGGACATCCAACCCCACCCCCCATATTCTGGAAGAGTTGTTATATAACCCATGTTCTGATTGATGTGAGGGATTAGCAAATGAAATTATCTGTTGTGATGAGTTCTTGGCATGTGGTGCATAGACCTGTGGGTATCATTAAATATTACCTGGGAATTCGAATTTCTTTAATTTCTCGTAAACTTCTAGGATTTCTACCGGTTGATACAGTGACTAATTCTGGCATGTAACTCTGATCTGATGACGCCACATTTATAGATAATAGTTTTAATACAGCATTACTCTTCATCCGTAGTCTAAAAAAAACAAAATTCAAATTTCATATTTGATACTTATTACATAAAGAAAAAAGAATGGAGATCACCTTCTTCTATTCAGCACAAACTAGATTATTTTAGGACTGAGGGCCCAATGAAATGAAAATGAAATGGGGTTTATAATGTCCTACTGTTCTGCTCCGACTGGGCTAATGAAAACAGGCATACACCATACAGTGTGCTGGGAGTGTAGAGCAGATAAGAATCCGTTACTAAAGTAACTAACCCCAGCCCTGCTTCATGGGACCATGTTGGTGGAGAAATTTAAGATGTTTTAGTCAAGTTTGTTTTACTAACCTGATCCAGTGTGATCTAGCCGTACCATCAGACTGCCAGAACGTATTAGGATCTCCATTTGTTAATCTGAAATTATAAAGTACAAGTGAGAACTGGGCTACAGAGATCAAATCTAATAAAAATACAGATTTCTTGACAATTTGAATGGTCTCCACATCAGGGGCGAGGTGACACGTAATTTTGCATGAGGAACAAGATGAGTTGACTCAATGGAAGACCCAATGATACAATGTGCTAACCATTCAGCCATCCAACCCCCCACATAAACCACAGGATAAGCACTCCTAGTGTACCGATAACAGAGAGAGTGAAATTGGATTTAATGTCCACGACACAAACTAGGTCATTTCGGGACTAACATATGGTTTAATTTTATTTCAATAAATCGCTTGCGCATAGGGGTCTTTAGCAGTGGGGAGGAAACCTGAGGACCCGGAGAAAACCCACAAGGTTGGACAGGCGACCCTACTCCTTGTCACGTACAACCGGGAATTCAAAACCACGCCAGTTGACTCAATGACAGGCCTTATGATAACCATGAACAAAGGAATTAAACTAATATTTTAAAGGTTTAATCAACTAGAGGAAGAAATTAAACGGTAAACTCATTTTTCAAAGATTACTGTCCCGCAGAAAACTAGAGGAAGAAACAAACCTGTAAGCATCCGATGTATTGGTGGATACTTCAATCCCCGAATAACACTTGGTGATTGGTCGAAGTTCTTCCCCTTCTGCTAATTCTTGTTCTTCTGTATCCCCTCCAGCCACTGGTCAAAAACAAACATAAAAACTTGATAAGTCTCCTGTCAAAACGCAACACCTAGCACTGTAACCCGGGTATCATTTAATCCTGTGTATCTAGTGCTAATTTCTTTCACATTTTGTTTAATATCAAATCTTTGTTTAAAACTTTGTAAAAATCATTTAAGATCACCCCAAATCATCTAATTTGTATTTGTCTCCAGTTTAAAGCTGATTGATTAATTTTGATAACTGAATGGTAGGCTTTAAACTGGAAACAAATACAAATTAGATGATTTTGGGTGATTTTAAATAATTTTTACAAATTTTTAACAAAAATTTGATATTAAACGAATGTGAAAGAAATTAGTGCTAGATACACAAGATTAAATAATACCTGGGTTACAGTGTAGTAACTCATGTTTTTCTTATTTTGAGAAAACAAAGGAAAATGTAATGAATGGATATTAAACCCCAGCTTATCCATTGATTTGACTATTGAGTTACTATTTTTTTCTGTGGCATACTAGGCAAATGAAGGAAGTTGCTAGGTTGTGTCATGGGTGTAACTGCTTACAAAATCAAAAGATTGGAATATCTAGTACAACAACAGAAAGCACATACCCTAGTAACTACAAATTTGGCCCTAACTCAATTTTGATAAAAAAAGTGAGTTACTAGGTTTTGACTTTTGACGGGAGAAGTTGTGATAACTGAGCTTCACGCACTGAACTAAAAAAACTCCCAAGTTCAAATCCCAATGTGGGCAGAGAAGAGAGAGAGAGAAATGGAGTTTAACGTCCGCTCGACACAAACTAGATCATTAATTGGGGACTAACATACGATTCAACTGTATATCAATAATTCGCTGGCACGTAGGGATCTTTAGCAGTGCGAGAAAACAAGAGGACCTGGAAAAAAACCACGAGTTTGGACAGGCAACCTACTCCTTGTCACGTTCAACTGGGGAATCGAAACCATGCCACTTGACTCAATGGCAGACATTGTGATTTCATGCACACGCGTTAAACCATTTTCCCCGCTCAACCCTTCACTTAGCAGGAGTGGCACCTACGGAACTGACAAGGGTGGCACCTGGAGAACGCTCGTATATTTACCTGAGGTAATTTTATAAGTATAATATATATTTACCTGAGGTTATTTTAATTAGTGTAACATATATTTACATGAGGTTAATATATATTTACCTGAGTTTTTAAGGTGATTAAATGTTGATTTAAGAACAGATTGTCTCATACTACTGGTGTTATTAAAACCATTTAAACATGGAAAAGGTAACGATCGACTCTCAGCCCTGTTCCTCAACAAATACTAAAAATATACAAAACATCTCTTCTTTAGACCATAAAATATACAAGACGACTCTTCTTTAGACCATAAAATATACAAGACGACTCTTCTTTAGACCATAAAATATACAAGACGACTCTTCTTTAGACCATAAAATATACAAGACGACTCTTCTTTAGACCATAAAATATACAAGACGACTCTTCTTTAGACCATAAAATATACAAGACGACTCTTCTTTAGACCATAAAATATACAAGACGACTCTTCTTTAGACCATAAAATATACAAGACGACTCTTCTTTAGACCATAAAATATACAAGACGACTCTTCTTTAGACCATAAAATATACAAGACGACTCTTCTTTAGACCATAAAATACAAATGTTTCACAGCCAGTAAACATATTTTTAAGGTTTTGAAAAGAATTCTAACACTATACAGCTATCTATTTACGACTGTCTTCAGGATTTACCAGTCTAGTTTGATAAGAAAACATCTAGGTCAATTTGGGACTAACATATGGTTCAATTTTATTTCAATAATTTGCTTGCCCAATAGGGGTCTTTAGCAGTGGGAGGAAACCGGAGGACCCGGAGAAAACCCACGAGGCTGGACAGGCAACTCTACTCCGGGTAATCGAAACCACGCCAGTTGACTCAATGACAGACTTTATGATGCAGCGCACGCGTGCTAACCACTCGGCCATCCAAACCCCTAGTAGAGGATAAAATTATGACTGAATGATATGACTGAATGATACACAATATATGATGCTGGCCGAGCTTAAGGGTCAAATGGGTTGTGTTTCTGTATCATACTTAACAATGACATGGGTTTGACTATGACAGGATGTTTTATAGGGCTGGCGGAAAATATCGATATTGCCAATAATCATCGGTAAGCGTTTTGAAAATCGATTATCAATACAGTTTTAGATTATCGCGCAATTATAGGTACTTCACTTGTAAGAAAAAGTCCATAAAAATAAACCTTATCACTGTATTCTTTATAACGCGTGCTTGGGCCTAGAACTATTTAAACAGAATAGTCATAATAAAACACACACGTTTTGTTTTTTCACATGAGACGCCACCGGTGAGAAATGTCGGCCGCTTATGTCATGATGAGAGCCAATGGTTTCACGGAACATTCAGTTTTGCCTCTTATTTTAACTCTTCATTTCTTTCGTCTTCTCTGTTTCTAAAACAAACACGTACTTTCCTTTTATTATGTTATCAAGGAATTTGCGAAGATATGTCTGAAGAGGAAATAACTACATTTTACACATTATTGTTCAGGTCATAAGCGACAAAGATATGGCGAGCGGTGACGGTTCTATCTTTCAAACGAAGTTGATCAAGTTTCTTTCTACACCTTGGTTTTGCTAGGGAATTCTATTATTTTATTGTCAAATGTCGATTATTGATCGCCGGATGGTCGGCAATAATCGATACTTGAAACAGGATCGATTGCCAGCCCTAATGTTTTACCCACCTTGAGAATTCTCTCTCCGTGATTATGTATAGGATTTTTATCACCAGTATAAACGTCAACAAAACCTGAAAACATGACAGCACAGATTAAAGGCAGATATCAGGTGGATCAAAATAAATTGGATGAACTTTAACACTACATTGCTTAGTAACTGTTCGATAGAATAATAATACATTTTTAACTGAATGAACACTAGCATGTTCCACAAAGATTGAACAAATATCAGTTTCATAGCTTAAAGGGTCAGTTTATCAGAGCAAACCATAGTATCTAATGTCAAATATTGCAATTCTTAAAGAACCAGTCTTCCAGAGGTGACAATGTTAACCAGCTGTTTCAGAGAGAGAGAGAGATATGGTTCAATTTTATTTCAATAATTTGCTTGCGCGTAGGGGTCTTTAGCAGTGGGAGGCAACCGGAGGACCCGAAGAAAACCCACGAGGTTGGACAGGCGACCCTACTCCTTGTCACATACAACCCGGGAATCGAAACCATGCCAGTTGACACAATGACAGACCTTATGATACAATGCGCACGCTCTAACCATTCGGCCATCAACCCCCCCTTCATAATCAGAAACTTTAAACAATCTTTTATATAATATCATAAAAAAATAGGAGCACACAACAAAAGTAAAAGAAGATTTTTACCTGGGGTTAATGTACAAGCTTGTAACATTCGGATACTTTTTCCGATCTCTCCCTGGACTGATCCGCTACTATATGACTGTACGGCATCTAATATTGTTGTGATATCCGCTACTCCACTCCCATCCATATCAAACTCCTGGAACACCTGTAATAATTTATCTCTCAACTAAAATGATGCAACAAATGATATATAGTATATAGACGATTACATTGTAACCTGGGTATAATTTAATCTTGTGTATCTAGCACTAATTTTTTTCACATTCGTTTAATATCAAATCTTTGTTTAAAAATTTGTAGAAATCGTTTAAAATCACCATAAATCATCTAATTTGTACTTGTGTCCAGTTTAAATTGTGTGTGACCAAAGAACCAAAATTTAAATTAGGGGTGGGGGGTACCAAAGAACTGAAATTTAAATTGGGTGTGGGCTACATGCAGTGTACTTACCCGTCTGGCCTCTATTTTTGATGCACCTTTAGAAACCAACATGTCTGTAAACTGGGCCAAAGTTACAGTTTCCTGATAAAATAAATTTAACATAGATTTACGCTCAATAAATATTGAAAAATAAACAAACTTTGTTTTATTTCTTCAACAATGATAAGATTAAAAATTTCAATTATTCATTTATCCGGGCGTTTTCTGATAAAGATAGGTTGCCAGGCAACGAAACATACGCCCACAGTGGCTAAATCGTCCGAGCGGTCGACAAGGGTTGTCGCATATTTATTCCTTTGTAGGTAATTGGGGGCCTTTACAAGACAGTTCCATACAGATCAGATTATAATTTTTGCCGTTTGAAGGTTCACAAGGTCCTACAAATTGAAACAAGGGTCTCAACTCTGGAAGTAATCTACAGAAATTGTTGAAATTTGACAGGCTTTTTCGTTTCACAAATTTAAATGATGCATATAAATTTCATATATATCGGATGATAACTTTCATCAATCGAGTATTAACAAGGTTGAACAAACTTAAACAAGGGCAATAACTCTAGAAGTAATAAAATTTTACCATTGGTACACGAATCGTGTACCATAATGCGTTTTAGCGCCATTTTAACAAGGTGCTCAAAGAATGAGGCTAGACATATTCCACAAGTCATGTCAACTGGTGATATCATGTTCTTATTTGGAGAGCATGCACAATAAATAATATCGGTGTTGACTGGAATAACCAGATGCTAGAAACTGACTAGCGGTTGAAACTTCTGGCGTATTTCGTCGAACATAACTGATGACAATTCACAGTAAAATGGACACGATTGAATGTAAAACAGTTTATATAAATTCATATTATATTATTATATGTGTTGCGACCCATTTGTGCCAATTTCTAGGTCCAAAATATTAGCGATTTAGCTCCTTTAAATGACGCATGTAAATTTCATACAGATCGGCAGATAACTTTTGATGTTAGAGCATTCCAAAAGTTCAATAAAGTGAAACAAGGGCCATAACTCTAGACGTAATAAACAGAAATTGCTGAAATTCAATAAGCTTCTTCGTTTCACTTATTTAAATAATGCATATAAATTTCAGAAAGATCGGATGATAACTTTTGGTGTTAGAGCGTTCACAAGAAATTTCACAAAGATCAATGTTAACTTTTGGCATTAGAGCGTTCACAAGGTTCAACAAAGTGAAACAAGGGCCATAACTCTAGACGTTATAAACGGAAATTATTGAAATTAAATAGGCTTCTTCATCTCACTAATGTAAACAACATATATCAATTTTAAAACAATTGGATGATAACTTTTGGCGTTAGAGTGTTCACAAGAAATTGTGGACGACGGACGAATGTACGGACAGACGTACGTACGGGGGCGACGGCAATATACGGCCACATTTCTATGTGGGCGTATAAAAATTGTTATTTGTTATTCGCCAATATGAAACAGCTCGTTGTTTGGGTAGAAAGACAGGTTATTAGAATCTATTTCCCACGACTTTGAAGTGTTATAAACCAATCAGGCTCATAAAAACCCACTCTCGGCAGCGTATTCCCTGTAAAAGTGTCTTTACTATTTTACTAATTCCGTATCTGGTGAATAACGAACAACAAACAACAAACTAGCACGTTGTTCGTTACTGGTGAATACCGAATAACAAACTGGCTCATTGTTCGCTATTCGCGAATAATGAAAAACGAACCACAAGCTTACTTCACATCGCTAAAATAAACAAACACTATTTTATTTCTTTGACATCGACAATTATTGTTTTATCCTGATTGTAAATATTGACTTGGTTATGAATCGTAATATGTATCATTTATTGCGACTGCAGTGGCAATACCCAGCACTATTTTGTATCATCATCTCTGCAAGGCTGAGGAGAAGATTTTTGCCCAGGCGGTACTATATAGTTGCTCACAGAATTCAACTGTCAAGGGGTTTTCTTTCCATCTGAACAACTATGTAAAACAAGTTGGAAACACACTTCTCGAAATTCATCTGTGCCAATGTCGGAATTCAAAAAGGGGACATACTATATATTACTTGAACAAGAATATTACAAACTTCTTATCGGACATGTGTTTCAGCAGACAATACGCCTACAAATGGGAACCGGACTTCCTTAGGGAATAGATCAATCTGATTAAAACACAGATCCCATTTCGTTTTGTTTTTATAGTTCAAAATTTCGATTTTACTTGTCTTTACTACACTTGGATCTGGAAGAGTTGTTATATAACCCGCGTTCTGGTTGATGTGAGGGATTAGCTAATGAAACAGTAAGTTCTTGGCACAAAATGCACAGAACTGTGGGTATCCCACTAGAAACATTAATGCTGATTGGTTAATCAAATTTCTGACATCATAGGGTCAAAAGCCGTTTGTATGATCCCTGACACAACCTCCCACTACAACTGGTCAGATCTTCATGTAGTGGAGACCATCAAAAGTATAAAATAACGAAACGAAATACAGATCTGTATAGATTGATATATAATTAAAGTGATTATTATTATACCTGAGTTTCTGGTCGATCACACAACCATCTAACTATAGCATTATGATGTTGTTGTGTTACATTAGATGGTACTTCTTCCCTGTAAAATATACAAATAGTACAAGCATTGCTATTGGTCCATAGTAATAATATGTATATAGTACAAACGTAGCTATTGGTTCATAGTACTAATATGTATGCCGTTGTAGAAACATTAATACAGATTGCTATTGTTGTACAGTAAGTTATATAGTATAAGCATAACTATTGGTTCTCAACCCTAATATGGCGCTTTTGATCATAAGACTTCACGAATTTATATCTAGAAAGCAATATGCTTAAAAACTGTATACCTGTCGAAAGTTGCTGAACACGTTGTGCCGCATCTTACGTTAGAATATATATATCTAAAAGTTATTCCACTGTAGTCCTTACCTTAAAGTTACAATTTCATATTTTTAAGTTATATTTTTAAAATGTATTTAAATAAAGCCCTAAAATAGATGGTATCTATAAACAGTCCTACCTTGTTAAAGAATAATTCTATTAATCCTATAATTCACTATTGCCAGTTGAGAAATTGGCAAAAATATCATTTTCAACTTCAAATTCAAACGTTTGAAGATAGCTATCCCATGGTGGGGAATAGAAAAACAAGGGAGGTAATTTTGTTATTATTTCCGGTGTGAAGATTTTTAAGTGTGAGAAAGATAACCTATGATCGTATAATAGTGAGTTGACAACCTATTGAGCAAAAGACATAGAAATAAATATGTTTTGACTTTCTTAGAAAATATGAAATTGTAACTTTAACAGCGCAACATAAATTTATAAAACAGTGTAAAGTAAACCTACCGTATCTTTGCCGCTAAAGTTCGCAAAGTTTGTGGATCGAACAAGTTATTAAGGTCAGCGGAAACAACTTCCTCTTTAGTTCCTGCAAAAAATATAATATAACCTTTGACTAAAAACGAGGAATAATAGATGAAATGAAATGGGGTTTAACATCCTACTGTTCTGCTCCGAACTGGGCTAATGAAGACGGGCATTTGCCATACAGTGTGCTATGAGGGAAATTTTGGCCGGACAGCGGCACTACGGCCTACTCTTTTATATCGAATTCCAACTGTCAAGGGATCTTTTACATGCACGCCAATGTGTACACGGGACCTCGGTTTTCCGTCCCATCCGAACGACTAGACAGCTGTCCTTGTCAGGTCCTCTGTCCTGCATCACTGACAAGGGGAAACCACGCCGAAAAATCTGGATGAACTTTCTCGGCCAATGGACGGATCGAACACCCAACCTCCAGACTAGCGGGCCAGCGTCTTACCCACTTAGCCATGTGTTTGTAAATGAACATGTCTAGTTGTTCGGATGGGATGAAAAACCAAGGTCCTGTGTACACATTGGCATGTACATGTACATGTACATAAAAGAACCGGGCTTCACATTTTACATTGTCTGTGTTGTACAAAAATAAGGGGGTCCTTCAAGGGATCAAGGAATAGTATATGTATCTAATCAAATAAAAACGGTCCCATTAGTGTTCACCTAAAAGAACCCCTGACAGCTAGAATTTGATTAAGGCAAAATTTCTTGCACATCTAAAATTGTCTGATTAATGCAGAAAAGTAGAACTAGGACTTTTAATTTATTTTTAATTAAAGATACATTATGGGAGATTCGGTAACGAGTTGGCAGTTCTCACTATAATAGTTAAAAACTAGATAATGTAAAGGCAATTTGCTGAAAATTTCATTCAAATTGATCCACTATGAACCGAGAACTAAGCGACTGAAATTTCCCCCTAGCCTCGGTCATCATTACTAAAGTCAGTACGATAAACAGCATAGTCTCGATTATCCATTTAATCGAGAAGGAAAGTTATGCAGTAAATCAGCTTACAATCCACTAAAGATCGCAGACTAGCGCTGCCATCTAGAGTTGATTATGGTCTGGATAAGTTAATTAATGTCTAATTAATAAGTTAGATTATATTTCAGGCCTAAAGAAAGACCTGAAATAGGCAGATTTAGCTCTTGCATAATGTTTAAACATACATTATTGAGTTAAATCTGCCTATTATAAGTCTTTCTTTAGTGAAGCAATTTGACTGAAATTTTCACCATATTCCCTTTACATTATCAATTTTTTAACTATTATAGTGAGAACTGCCAACTCATTATCTAATCTCCCATAATGAACCTTTAAGATAATAATAATAAACCTACCAGCATCCAATTCATTGTCCGAGTAGGCATCATCATCCTGTTATAAAATAAAAATATATCAATTATTAGAATTATCATATATTTAGTTTAAAATAATTCAATTCGATCAGTACCAGTGTTGTGGTCAATTGGCAGATTTAGGGCCTTTGAAACGAAAAAAATGTGCTGGGGCTCACTATTAGATCAGATGCCTGGATTCTGTGACTGAGGTGGCATGTTTGATTAAGTGACTATCAAAAATAACAAACCAATACATGTATTATCATGCTACAAGACAGTTGTCAGCAAATTCTACCTAGAGATTTAGATAATATAATGAGTGGAGTCAGCAGGCCTAATAACGAGAATGGGGCTCAGAAAGTGAGAAAAACGAATGGAAATATATTAATCAATAACAACAATAATATCACATTGGTTGTTGTTAAATTTGGAATTTCAATTCTCATGGCCTAAATGTAGGCTACATGATTACCGTAGGCCTACATGATGTATATTAGTAATATGCCTATTTTATTTAAGGCAGTGGCTATTGTTACGACGAGTCGTAAAAATAGTCGTCAGGCTATTGTTACGACGATGCTTTCAGAGCCCTCCATCGGCAAATTTTAGGGTTAGGGTCTAACCCTAACCCGGCCCGGATCCAGAATTTTGTTGAGGGGGGCATACATTGAAGCAAAGGGTAATCATCAGAGTGCCACATGCATTTGTGGTTTGCATTTGCACGGCCCCCTGGATCAGGGCTTGTAGTGGAGTTGAAATCCATTGATTCAGAGGAGTAATAGAAATCGATGGTCGGAACAATAGCCACAGGACTACTTTTTACGACAATTCAGTTTTTAACTTCGCCGACAGCGGGCTCTGAAAACATCGTCGTAACAATAGCCTGAGGACTATTTTTACGACTCGTCTTAACAATAGTCACTGCCTTTATTTAAGCATTTTACTATCCCTTGTTTCATAAATGGACACAAGGAATTAACTTCTTTCTCCAGTCAAACTCTGCTTTGACAGAGGAAATTATTCCTATGCAAAAAAATATAATAAGCCAGATCTGACGTAACATTATCCTGTCCGATTTGACTCAGTCCCAAGGATGTAGTTTCGAAAGTCCTAGACTCAAACTGAACTGGTGTTTTAAGATTCACCACATACCTCATTGACATCCCCTCGTGGGTCTTCCTCAGTGTCACTGCTACTGTTAGAGTTACCCATGATTGGTTTATATAATAAAAAATCATATCATTTTCCTTAAAACAAGAATGTGTCTATCCAAAATCGTCCTTATTTTCCTGGAATTCTGTTCAGACAAGACAGATGTATTCTTTTAGACAGCCCCTTCAAAAGACAACTTCAAAATCTTAAATGACCACCATATTTATGTGAATGTCAATCGCAAAACTTTAGACAGGTTCGGAATATCAAATTAATAGTTCGGTCCAAAATTACACAAAACGCGTGTAACTTCGTTTTGTAGCCCAGTTCAGAAAAATAAAAGAATGCTTTTCAACCGGAAGTTTAACTAACCAAATCAATCTCTTTCAATTGAAGAGTAGAAAAAGGGGGAGGGTAATTTGTGAGCTTGGATTTGTTGGTAAACAGTGCCACGTGTAGAACCACATTTATGTAATTCAGCAAGGAATTTTCTAGTGAAATTCATGGAGATTATGTGGATCAAGAAGAAAATAGGTTAAAGAGTTTGAATAGATGTGGATCAAGTTGATTCTTGACTATAGGCCTACAGACAGTGCACCCACGTATGATAATTGAATAATTCCAAAAGAAATTGAAGCAAAGAATTTAATTTTCTTGTTTAGCTAGTTTGTGTATTGTGTGTTTGAATAAAGACCTGTCCTTCGCCTATCCGATATTCCTTAGTTCACACTGAACGTAGGAAAATATTCAAAAGTCTGTGGGGAAGAGTTGCGATGCCGAGTATCGTCGAACAGATAGATGTGGTCGAACATGACATCAAGAAAAGTGAAGGACGTTTAGATGCGATTGAGCGATCACTGAGGTTGCAATACATGACTGACAGTGAGAGACAGAAACTACTGGAAGAGGAATCAATGTTGAAGAAAAAACTGAACACACAGAATAAGGAATTGGGAAGTTTAAGAAAAGAAAATTGGAAATCCATGGTGATGTCAGTGATAATACTGGCAGTGATTTATTGTGTATATTCTTTTTATAAGGCCTAGAAACTATTTGTTATACTTATACTGTTGTTATCATTTGTATTCATTTTTTTTATATTTTAATTTAAGGTGAACAGAAATGTCCGATAGTAAATTTGTGTTTGAGTTTTCCGCTTAAATGGAGCTATTTCCCTTGTGCCATGTGTTAGCTTTGCATTTGAAACTTTCCGATAATTTCGCCTGCAATCATCTGGGTTCGATCAAATCCCAGCCCGGCGTGGACTAAGATGGGAGTTGTCGGAATGATTCCTGTAGGTCTGACAAGGAAATCGTTTCTAGTCGTTCGAGTGGGGCGACAAGCCGAGATGTGGCATACGAAATTCAAAGAAGAGTAGGCCTAGGCCTATATGGTGAAAATGCCACTGACCAGGCAAAATTCCCATCCCATTTCTGACATTAGACCATAAATCCCAGACTATCGCACTATAGAGTAGCCCGATTCCCTGGATCAACCCACTCTACAAACACCTTGTTATTCAAACCAAGGGAGCCACGATCCATGGCTAAATGGGTAGGATGCTGGCTCGCTAGCCTGGAGGTTGGGTGTTCGATCCCTGCATTGGCCGAGAAAGTTCATCCATATTTTCCGGCATGATTCCCCTTGTCAGTGATGTAAGACGGAGGGCCTGAGAAGAACAGCTGTCTAGTCGTTCAGATGGAACGAAAAACTGAGGTCCCATGTAAACATTGGCGTGCATGTAAAAGATCCATTGACAGTTGGAATTCGATAAAGAGTAGGCCTTGCATGGCGTATGCACATCTTCATTACCCCAGTCGGAGCAGAACAGTAGGAAGTTAAACCAAACCCATTCCAATTCATTTCATTCGCTTGCACGTAGGGGTCTTTAGCAGTGGGAGGAAAATGGAGGAGGCGGAGAAAACTCACGAGGTTGGGCAGTGACCCTACTCCTTGTCATGTACAACTGGGGAATCGAAACCACGCCAGTTCACTCAATGACAGACCTTATGATACATCACGCACATGCTGCCAATTTGGATATAAGAGTAGGCCATAGTGCCACTGCCCGGACAAAATTTCCCTCATAACATGCCCGTCTTCATTAGCCCAATTCGAGAACAGTAGGACGTTAAACCACATTTCATTTGTTATTCTGACATAACAACACCAATAAAGAGAATATTTATTATTTTATTGACTTGTTCTACTTCTAAAATACATAATATAATAAACAATACCTTATATGGGAACAATTAGAAAAATAAAACATAAAAAAATAGTATACATGTATGTCTTAGAAAGTAAAAACAAAGTGCTAATGAAAAGCAATGACGTTAGATCTTGATATGACGGCCATAATCGTAGGTTTTAATAAAAACTTAAATAAAACCTGCAAGCATGACGTAACAAAAGACCGAGGGAGTACTAAATTTAGTGAACTCTGTCATTCAGGAAAAAATAAATTATTTAATTAATTTGATCTACAGGCGGTTAAAGGGATTAAATTTCTTACATTATCTTGTAATGTAGTATACTACAGAAGGGGCCAAGTATTGTGAAATGTTCGAGGACCAAATGTTTTCACCGAGTCAAAACAATATGGCGGGTAATATAGGATACCTTGTCCCAACTGAAGTTTTGTTATGTAAGTAACAATACGTGATTTGTATTTTTCGATTCAGTATCAAATTTCTCACGGCTTAACGCTGATATGTACTAAACAAAAACAGACGAATCAAATACCAAAGCTTGATAATCTCCCGGTTGGATTCAATCGGATTTAAAATAGGCCTATCAATTTGGTTCACGGCAAATAAAGATGGCGGCCGTATTGGTATATAGGTGCGCACCGACTCTTGAAGATAATGTAAGTAATTTTATTTTAATCCCTTGTTGGTTAACCCGTTTTTACAATGTGCGTATTTTTCCTTTTGAAAATGGACTTGTTCAATACTTTAAGTTTCATTTTTTTCCCTTAAACTGTATGTCGACAGTTGAACACATAAAAATAGATAAAAGCCACAAACTTGACACAAACTAAACTTGGGAGGTAAATTCTAACTGTACAAAACAACACAGAATTATAAATAATATTTTAAACAATTGTGATAGAGTAAAAAAACAATATTAGTGAACAATTATATGTGCATTTAGAGTTATAATTTACTCTTATCACACAATTAACAACAATTAAACATACATTATGCAATAGTAGATAAAGAGCTGGCAGTTCTCATTATATTAGTTCTATTAAAGATACATTAAAGGTATTTAATAATTTTCTATACACTCTTCATTAGTTTATTAAGATACATTATTGGAGGTTAGATAAAGAGCTGACAGTTCTCTCTAAATTAGTTTATTAAAGATACATTATGGAAGATTAAATAAAGAGCTGGCAGTTCTCGCTCTAATAGTTAAAAACTAGATAATGTAAATAGAACATGCCGAAAATTTCAGTCAAATTGATTCGCTCTGAACCGAGATATTAGCTTTTGAATTTTAGGCTAGCCTCGATCATCATTACTAAAGTCTCGATTATGAACTGTACGTTTAATTATTTTTCAAAAAATGTATTCCAATCTGTTAAATATCGCAGGCTAGCGATGACTTCGGGAATTGATTATGATCTGGATGAGTTAATTAATATCTAATTAATAATATAGATAACAGTTCAGGCCTAAAGAAAAGTCTGCAATAGGCAGATTTAGCTCTTGCATAATGTATGTTTAACTAGAATTACAAATAGGCTACTAAAATGGTACACTAGATGGATGGTATAAAAGGCGACCCTAGTCTAGAACCAATGTCACAGAATAATAATATGCGGCCAATTCTTAACAATATGAACAAATTATTTATTATGTCTGATAAATATATTCCTGGGTCTCACTGTCAACCGTCTCCATTAACCCAGACGGAGCAGGACAGTAGGGAGTTAAACCCCATTTTATTTCATTTCATTAACGCATGCGCGAGGCTACTAAACTTGGACAGTTCAGATTATAGGACATATCACCATAAATTAAACTTAATGATATTTCACTTTATGCAACTTGGTCCAGTTACTAACAATTAATATGAAAATCAATGTTTCCCGCGTGAAAAAGAACTATTTGATGCTATTACCGCCCTGGGAAAAGACATTTCTAAATCAGATTAAAGCGTGACATAGAAAGGTTAGTCATGTTATAGTTTACAATGTCGATGTTGCATTGGTAAATTGTAGGGAGCCATGGCGACTAAATTAGTAGGATGGAGGGGGGGGGGGTAATGCGTGCGCGTTACACCATAAGGTCTGTCATTGAGTTAAGTATCTCAGCTTGAGAAGAAGTGTTTCGAGAATTTTGAGAAGTTTATATTCTTCTTTCATTTTATAAAATGAACAGGTTTAATTAGTCTTTTGTGTTTAACAGACGTGAACCGGAGTAGGACCGCATTACAGAACAGTATACTAATTGTTGGATATGGTGGCTAGTTAGAGCAGAGATCTATTCTCGAAGCAGAGTAGACAGGCCGAAGCCCGAGCAAGAGACGAGTGTCTAGTCGTTTGGATGGGTAAAAAACAGAGGTCCCGTGTACACGTAAGAATTCAAAATAGAGAGAGAGAGAGAAATGGGGTTTAACGTCCACTCGACACAAACTAGGTCATTTCGGGACTAACATATGGTTTAATTTTATTTACATAATTCGCTTGCGCGTAGGGGTCTTTAGAAGTGGGAGGAAACCGGAGGACCCGGAGAAAACCCACGAGGTTGAACAGGCGACCCTACTCCTTGTCACGTACAACCGGGGATTCGAAACCACACCAGTCGACTCAATGACAGACTTAATGATACAGCGCGCGCACGCTAACCATTCAGCCATCCACCCCCCCCCCCATTCAAAATAGAAGTTGTCCTTCGCGCCACTCTCCGGGCAAAATAACTTCGTCTTGATTAGTAAGACCTGGATAACATTTAATTTTATTTATTTTCTTGGTAAATTGCTACGATTTTCCAGATCATCCGTCAGCAGTCATTATCAATAATATACAATTCAGACAGAAAGATCGACGATATATACCGCGAGCATTATAAATTATGCAGAACAATTAATAGATTACATTTATTATGGTCAATAAAACCAAAGGACAGATTGCAAGCGATTATTTGTCGGCCCCGTATCCACGTTCCGGGGTTCTTCGAATATGTATCATGGCGTTTCATAACCGCGACTATTTCTACAGCAATAAGCCTACGGTAGTTAGGGCGTGGTTTATCAAGCGATAACAAAATGGCGTAGTGTTGCCCAATCTAATTAAACACAGATCATATTTGTTTTTTATTGTTCAAAATTTCGTTTTACTTGTTTTTACTACACTGGGATCTGGAAGAGTTGTTATATAACCTTTGTCCTGGATGATGTGAGGGATTAGCCAATAAAACGGTCTGTTACGGTGAGGTTTTGTGGGTAAACCACTAGAAACATCCCTGCTGATTCATTAATCAAATGTCTGACGTCATAGGGTCAAAATCGGTCGTATAACCTCCCAATACAACTGGTCAGATCTTCATGCAGTAGAGGCTATCGAAAGTATAAAAAAACCGAAACGAAATATAGATCTGTATTTTAATCGATTGGGAAAAGCAGGACTTATGGCGACAAATAATCACAAGTGTGTACTGGCCTTTAAGCTATTAATCCTAGCATTACATCATATTAGAGGCATATTAATAAATTGTCCTGAATAATTAACAACAAAAACAAACTGACAACAAAATAATATGATATTGACGAGAACACATAGAGAATGTGGTCTATATAACGAGAAAAATAATCAATTAACTTCCAATTCTCTCCAGTCGACACCCTGAACAGAGAGAGAGAGAGAGAGAGAGAGAGAGAGAAATGAGGTTTAACGTCCACTCGACACAAACTAGGTCATTTCGGGACTAACATATGGTTTAATTTTATTTCAATAATTCGCTTGCGCATAGGGGTCTTTAGCAGTGGGAGGAAACCGGAGGACCCAGAGAAAACCCACGAGGTTGGACAGGCGACCCTACTCCTTGTCACGTACAACCGGGGATTCGAAACCACGCCAGTCGACTCAATGACAGGCTTTATGATACAGCACGCGCACGCTAACCATTCAGCCATCCAACCCTCCGTTCTGAATCGAGAAATGTTTACTTTACCAACCGGTCGGGTTCGCTTGAAGCAAAATGTTTCTTTAGCTCACACAATCTCCATAGCAACAAGAAAATGTCATCACTTAGATGATATATTATTATTAATTGTTCTAAATATTTCTAATCTATAAATAATAAATCTAATTTTAAACATGTCAAATAAAACATATCGAATAAAACACTCTAATTAAAATTTAAAATTTAACATACAATAAAAGAAAAAAAAAACAACAACATTTTTTGGTCTTTCATCCTCATAGAGTTACAATCCATTGGTCACAATTTATAGGTTTTACCAATCAATGGACGCCTTACATCCTTACATAACACGTGGACATTCTTGCAGTTGAACAATTTCCGGTTATTCAACCAATCGCCTTGACGGATTTCATACAATCATTTTAAAAAATTGATTTAAATAGCTCATTAGTAGATATATCTGAACAATTGAATCAAAAGCGCCATCAATAATTCCAAGACAACGTAATGGCGTCGTATTAACAACATTTAATCAAAACGATGTCGACAATATGCGTTCAGCTCAATCAATTTAAAAATTTTGGCGGCCCCAGAAAAGATTTAATTCTACTTTTCCTTTTTACCATTCTCTTTGGAATCTCTTTCAGATTCTCGACGTTTTGATTGGACATCGCACTTCACTGAAATAGCTTTGAAATATTTATCTGTGACGGAAGTGGGTAAATATCCTATGAGCTCAGATCTTAGATACGTCATCCAGTAAGGTACGTAACGAAAATGTGGGTTCTTCGTCACCACTGCCTGAACCATCAAATCAGTGACCTCATGAACGTGAGGTCGTGCACGTTTCATCTGTTGTGTGATGTTCTGTAAGAAAGCGTCGAAGTACTCTTCACCATAATCGTTTTTGATATCTTTTGGTGTTTCAGCCCAGGATTTTCGGTTCATGTCGATTAGGTATTCTTCACTGGAGATTGGGGTCCTGAAACAAATAAAATGAAATGAAATGGGGTTTAACGTCCTACTGTTCTGCTCCGAACTGGGTAAATGAAGACGGGCTTACGCCATACAGTGAGCTATGAGGGAAATTTTGCTCGGACAGTAGTAAGGCGGCTTACTCTTATATCGAATTCCAACTGTCGAGGGATCTTTTACGTGCACGCCAATGTGTACACGGGACCCGCTAATTGGGGGCCTAGTTGGGGGCCGTGGCATTTTGGGCGTGCCTGTTAGGGGTAACCCACCGCACAAACTGTCTGGCAGTGGTCATTCATGATTTCTGTGGTGGTACTGAACAACTTCAAAGCAGTTTTAGGTGATACAGATTTCAGCTATTCTAGCCTAGCTGCGATCTGGAAATTAGATAACTCTTGTCAGGAATACTCCACCACTACAAATGTCTGGCAATTACATTGCTCTGTCAGGGGTACCCACCACTAGAAATGTCCGGCAGAGTGTTTTTGTAATACCTGAATATGTAAGGTACACTGCTGTACGATTTTCATGTGGTACACTTTTAAGCTAATCTACCCAGAATCACAACCCTCACAGCAACACCCACCGCCAGTTACCCGGCAGACTTACATTCTGATGATATCGGATATATGCATGCATTGATACCATATAGGAAAAAATTGGTACCCCCCCTCCCCGGGGTCCCGCTGTAATAGTTAGTTAGTTATGATCTTGTGTGTAAACATCTCTTTGCTGACAGACGCAGAAAGAGGGGGCGAGCGGAGACGAGTAGAAGAGACCGGCATATGGACTCACCCGAGTTCAGCCGCTGCCGTGACAGAGGCGCGGAATGGTTGTCTATTAATGTACCCTGTTCATGTTATTGTTTCCTGGTGTAGTTTAGTTCCTGTTTAATTTATGTCCCTGTTTAATTTATGTAGCTGTGTTACATTTATGTTCCTATATTCAAGACACTGATCTATGTTATCACTATGATAGTGTTACAAAGTTTTGTGTTTCTGGATCAAAGATATTTCTCATAAACAGTGTTTAGAAGTTGAGTAAATTCTTAATTCAAGTCTGAGAAACCTTTGTAAACTCGAGGACAGATACTTTAAAACGTGTGTCTAAATATCTCTAACGCACAATCCTTATAAGACACATGGAAATAGATTTCACTAAAAATTAGAACACAACTAATCATTATTTGTTTGATAACGATACCTGTATGTGTATTGAATCGTTGCATGTTAATAAAATTCAGAAGTAGTATATCCGTATAAGTGTCCTAATCTCTTACGCAGTTTGGAATATGCGTAAATGATTCCATTCAATAAACATTGTGAAATATTAAAACCGATAGACCATTACACCTTATTTAATTAAGTGTCGATGACAAATCAAAATCTCTCTTATATATTAATCAATGAAGATTATAATAATTACGGTTCAAATTTCAATCATATGACGTCATATTTTGTTTATCACCAATTTTATGAATGGAAATAAGACAACCTTATGACGTAAAATGAGGTCATCCTCGCTGATGGCGATTTAATACTTCCTTGCTATTTACATAAAAGGAAACACCCCCTAGGTTTAGTGTTCCGTATAGACTTAGAGTGAAGGGAAACTGAAGTGGGCAATATAACACGTGTTATGACTATTATTAGATAACATTTATCTTCTATACTGACCAATTGAAATTGATACGGATGTCATTTGTAATAATACAATTACTATGTGTCTTAAAGGGACAATCTTGATTATATATTGGAGAATAAAACTGTCTATTTGTGTGTGAAAAGGCTTTAGGAACATCTACCTTAGGGCCGAGCAACTAACTCAATATACGTGATACATTTTCAAACAACCTACACCTGTCAGTCTTCATCTGCAAACGGGGACCGGCGTCCCAAGCTGTATTATACGGTGTCCGGATAAAACCAGACTTTTATATTATAAAAATAACGTGTAGGTGAAAATTACCACAAACTGTTTTGACCTCTAAAGGAACGGAAATAGATTATCAGGTTACCCAACTAAAAAACTGACCCGAAATCTTAAAAGGCTTACGTGTCCGGATAAGCGGTTTTGAAGTTCATTTCCAATCGACTCATGGATGGCTGAATGGTTAGCACGTGCGTGCTGTATCATAAAGTCTGTCATTGAGTCAACTGGATGGTTTCGAATCCCCGGTTGTACGTGACACGGAGTAGGGTCGCCTGTCCAACTTCGTGGGTTTTCTCCGGGTCCTCCGGTTTCCTCCAACTGCTAAAGACCCCTACGCGCAAGCGAATTATGGAAATAAAATTGAACCATATGTTAGTCCCGAAATGACCTACTATGTGTCGAGTGGACGTTAAACCCCATTTCTCTCTCTCTCTCTCTTTCTCTCTCTCTCCCACCTAACTACCGTGGCCCCTGCTATGTCAGAAACCCGCCGCCAATTTGTTGTTCGTGAAAATGTATTGGCAGGATTATTTTATATCCGGTTGAATCCAAGCCGGGATACTATCTAGCTTTGGTATTTTGATTTGGTTTTCCTAATTAAATGTTAAAGATATACATTATGTCAGATTTCGATAAAAAGCAAACCATTCTTGTTATAATAGTTCTACTTCACCCATTTAATTATGTAAACGGGAATATCGGGACTAACATATGGTTGAATTTTATTTCTATAATTCGCTTGCGCGTAGGGATCTTTAGCAGTGGGAGGAAACTGGAGGACCCGGAGAAAAACCACGAGGTTGGACAGGCGACCCTCCTTGTCACGTACGACCAGATAATAGAAACCACACCAGATGACTAAATGACAGACATTATGATAAAACGCACACGCGCTATATATAACTATTCGGCGACCTGCAATAGACAGATTTAGCTCTTCAATAATGTAAGTTTAAATAATCATACTAGCGTGGAGTAAGCCGTGATCAATTGGATTTTGTTAGCGCAAAATGCAGACGGTGCATCGTTACTTTAAGCTTAGTGGTTGCCATCACTTTCTGTCGTCTGCGGTATCTCTTATTGTGAATGGTTTAGCGCGTTAACGTTAGATCGTAATGTCTGTCACTGAGTAAAATGGCGCGGTATTCATAGTGACAAGGAGCAGCGTCACCTGCCCAACCTTCGTGGATTTCCTCGAGATCAGTGTTTAAAGTTCAACCGCAATATCGAGATGACTCAATTCATGGAGATATATACACACCGGAGTACGTAATATCCTGGTAATTACCGACCCCTGTTCAAAAACTCGGTCATATATCTATTAAGGACGCTTGAACGTGACGCCAACGTGATAACGTACGGACCTCCGTTTTTCGAGTCACCCCAGCGACACTAGCGAGGAGAGTTTTGCACACTCATTGTCGGTTCCGCTTCTCCAATTCCAAGTATACGTGCAGGCCAACGTGTGTACGGATGGATCTAGGGAAATGAAATGAAATGGGGTTTAACGTCCTACTGTTCTTCTTCTAAACTGGGCTAATGAAGACAGACATACGCCATACAGTGTGCTATGAGGGAAATTTTGCCGGTGTCGTTTTTAAGTCCACGGGTGGTTCTCGTACATTATACTACTGTGCAGATACGTTCGGATAGGTTTCGATACGATCAACATGATAACTACGACTGACCTCAATATATGATAAAATCTGCTTGGATCACCACGATTACTCGACCACTAAATCAACGATTTCAATCGTAGCACGAATCGTGATAGTGGGAACCTAGCCTTAACCGTGATAAGATTGGCTTCTGGTATCCAATATTTAAGACAAAATGAAAATTTAAAAATTGGCACACATATCGCGTGCCAGAATGCTTTCGAAGCCATTTGTAATGAAGCCACTCGATGAACGAGGCTTAGCATACTACCGGTATAGACTGGAATAACCTGACGCCAAAGACTACCATTCAATTCGGACTCTTCGCGAATTTCGCCGAACATAACTGATTAGAAATTACAGTAAAACAGAAACGATCGAATGTAAATCAGTTTATATACATTCATATTACATTATTTTGTGTTGCTACCCATTTGTGGCAAATTTATACGTGCTAAAGAATAGAGATTTAGCTCCTTTATTTTGAGTTTATGAAAGTTAATGTAGTGGGCTAAATCTAATTAATAAGGCCAGCTCAATTTTTGTCAAGGTCGTTGAGATGTAAATAAGGTTAGGGCACCGTGATTGTTGGTGAGATTGTAATTTAGGATTAGGGTAAGCATTGGGGCTAAGGTTGGGGTTGGGATTAGCGCTATAGCCCTGTTTACACCTCATGACCTATGGTGAAAAATTGAGCTGGCCTTATCATTTAGCACTAACCATGTTTAAAGGAGGTAAATCGCTAATATTTGGGACCTAGAAATTGACCCAAATGGGTAGCAACGCATATAATAATGTAATCTGATTGTATTTAAACTGATTTACATTCAATTGTTTCCGTTTTGACTCTACTTTCAAATCAGTTAGCTCCAGCGAAATACAGCAGGAGTCTGAACCGAATCGCTATTTCTAACGTCTGGTTATTCCAGTCTATTGTGCATGCTCTCATGGCGTCACCGTTTGACAGGAGTTGTGGAATATGTCCAGCCCTCGTTCTGTCTGGTCACTTGTTATAAGTGATGACGCTGAAACGCATTATGGTACACGATTCGTGTACCAATGGTAAAATGTTTATTTTCTCTTAAATATTGGATATCAGTAGCCTACCTTTTCCCGGTAAGATCACAACATCAATGTTGATTTGAATTAACAAATAATTCGTGTTTTCAACGTGTAAGACTTTGTATGATATTGAGTTAGAGACTTAGCTACTTTAAGATGTTAGTTCATGATGGGCGAATCTAGTTCGTCTATTAATAGCAATTTCTCTCTTTGACAAACTCGACCATATTTAAAGTAGAGATATTATTTTTAGTTTAACCCACGTGCTCGTTTAAGGAATGTTAACGGAATCAACTAAGACATTATTTGGTAGGCCTACACCCTTTTAGAAGTATTTGATAAAGTTGGTCATATTTTCTAAAGATTATTTATTTTCTGTCTTTTAAGCGTTGAGTTCATGTAAGTTGATGTTTAAGACGTTAGTTATGTTTTGAGAACAAACTACGGCACCTGGTATGGTATCGGTTACATGAGAGGCGTGTCCAAGAATTTGAGCAAGCTTGGCGTTCGGTTGGGGGTGGGGGGGTGGGGGGGTGAGGAACTACCCGCGAATTTGATAAATTCTGAGAGAGAGAGAGAGAGAGAGAGAGAGGGGGGGTTTAACGTCCACTCGACACAAACACATGGTTCAATTTTATTTCTATAATTCGCTTGCCCGTAGGGGTTTTTAGCAGTGGGAGGAAACAGAACGACCCGGAGAAAACCCACGCGGTTGGACAGACGACCCTACTCCTTGTCACGTACAACCGGGGATTCGTAACCACGCCAGTTGACTCAAAGACAGACTTTATGATACAGCACGCACGTGCTAATCATTCGGCCTTCCAACCTCCCGATAAATTTAGAATCTTTGAGAATTTTTGAGACAATATTTCTGCTGAGGATTAGAGTGGGGTCAATCTGAGCTAACATTTCATTTTCGTACGTTATTCCCATGAATGCACCTTCTTTAAGGATACTTGGTTTAAACAATATTTTATTAAATATAATTTCACATAATCATAAAATTATACAGTCTTAAGGATACGAAAACAAGCAATATGAATAAGGATACTTCGACTTTAAAGGGCCAATCTCGATTATATTTTGGAGAAGAAAACAGCTTAATTTTGTGTTAAAAACCTCTACCGTAGGACCGAGCAACTTACTAAATATACGTGATACGTTTTCAGACAACTTAAATCCGCCAGTCTTTATCTGGAAATGGAGACCGGTGTCCCAGACTGTATTATACTGTCTGGATAAAGCCAGACTTTCATTTTATAAAAATAAAGTACAGGCGAAATTTACCTTTCGTTATCAAGTACAGCACGTACTGTATAAACCTCTAAAGGAACGATAATAGATTATCAGGTCACCCAACGACAAAATTAACCCGAAATCTTAAAAGGGTTACGTGTCCGGATAAGCGGTTTTGACGTTCACGACCAAACGACTCAATGATTTGAGTTGAAATTATGAGATAAGGTAAATACACCATTCCTCTATATTTTGGCGCTTGAATTTCATACTTACACGGACTTTTATTTCGGAGACTTTGTTAAAATCGGGATGGTCCCTTTAAAACGAACGATTTAAAAGACATCCTCGACCCTGAGCCAATTGCACAATTAAACATTGATCGTTGTGTTTACCATCTATTAACATTCTGCACACGAACAGCTTAAATCATTTAACGAATCCATTAACCTTAATTTGGCTAGGTAAGTGTGTTTTTAGGATAAGTGCCAATTTAATTTGAAGAACGGTTCTCAAGAGGACCATTCATCCCAACCAAGCGCTCGATACTATACATAGGTTTATACTTAAAACATTCCCCAGTTTAAAGAGTAATTAAAATACCTGTAAATTGTTTTAAACGGTATTTAGTATAATTGAATTCTAAAACATTAAATAAACATTATGCAAGGGCTAAATCTACCTACTGCATGTCTTTCATTAGGTCTGAAATGATATCTAAATTATTAATTAGACATTTTTTTAACTTATCCAGACCATAATCAACTCTCGGTGGCATAGCTAGGGTTAGGGTTAGCTGCGATGTTTATTGTATTACGTTCCGATTTGCTGTTCGACTTCTATTCATAATTATGATATGTTATCTAAATTATTAGACATTAATTCACTTATCCAACCCATAATCACCTCTCGATGGCATCGCTAGCCTGCGATTTTTATTGGATTAGGTTCGACTTCCATTCATAATTAAATCATGAAATGGATAATCGAGACTATATTTTTTATCCTACCGACTTTAGTAATGATGATCGAGGCTAGCGCCAATATTCAATCGCTAAAATCTCGGATCATAGTGGTTCAATTTGACTGAAATTTTCAGCAAATTGCCATTAAATTATCTAGTTTTTAACCATTATAGTGAGAATGGCCAACTCTTCGTCTAATCTCCCATAATGTATCTTTAAATTAAACACAGGGGCGTTCTGTGGAAAATTGTATTTTTTAATCGGAGCTATGTTTCTACGACGATTCTCTTGTTGTTTTCAAACACAGTACCTGTACTTTTCATACAATGGGGTTAATGTTCAACTTTTATGAACTACCTGGGCTGATCTCAACTCAGGACGTTCTTGTCTCAGTCATGTACGTGGAAAAGATATAGACTCCGGTATGAGAGAGAGAGAGAAATGGGGGTTAACGTCCACTCGACACAAACCAGGTCATTTCGGAACTAACATATGGTTCCATTTTGTTTCAGTAATTGCCTTGCGCATAGGGGTCTTTAGCAGTGGAAGGAAACCGGAGGATCCAGTGAAAACTCACAAGGTTGGACAGGCGATCCTACTCCTTGACAAGAACAACCGTAGATTTGAAACCACGCCAGTTGACTCAATGACAGGCCTTTAGATACAGTGCACACGTGCTAACCACCCCTCCCCCCTCCACTTTGTAATGTAAATAATCACAATCAGTGAATATAACAACCTAACAGCGCCCTAGAAACTACACTACAGTAGCCTATTAACACAATTCATAAATAACGAGACAGGAAAACCATTTCCTTTATCATTTTGAGTGAAGCTTTTGTTATTACAGACCGGGACTGTACAACACATTCGAAACTTATAGCGGGCGCCCGGACCCATTCCCTTGATTTAATATTTGTTTGTCCGCAGTTTTTGTTTGGCTACGGTATTTTACACCAACTGGGTTATTCGCCTTGTCACCCACTATAAAAATGAAATGAAATGGGGTTTAGCGTCCTACTGTTTTGCTCCGAACTGGGCAGCGGCAGTACGGTATACTCTTATATCGAATTCCAACTGCCAAGGGATCTTTTTCGTGCACGCCAATGTGTACACGGGACTTCGGTTTTTCGTCCCATCCGAACGACTAGACAGCTTTCCTTGTCAGCCTCTCCGTCCTGCATCACTGACAAGGGAGAACCACGCCGGAAAATCTGGATGAACTTTCTCGGCCAATGCAGGGATCGAACACCCGACCTCCAGGCTAGCGAGCCAGCGTCTTACCCACTTAGCCACGTGATCCCCTCGCCCACTATAACAAAGTGCGATAATATCACCCCAATAAAATAAAGATTGTTAGCTGATATCAAATTCAAGCCATACCACAGGCAGCGAAGTACGTGGCAGATGGTTTCACCGTTACGAGGCAACTATCTTCTAGTCACCCTTATAGAATAAACAGTTTAAAGTGGTTGAATGGGATGTTGTTTGGAGGCCAAGGAGAACACTGGCATAGGTAAATTATATATCCATGGAACCTTATTCTACAATACACATCCCTGTGGAAGTATGTGAAATAGCTTTATTTAACGTCCGCTTCTACCTAACTGATATCGCAGACAACCCTGTTGAAGAATGGACACCTTCATATATATACAAACGCTTGCAATATCAATTTAACAAGCATTGTGACAATTAAACAATAGTACTTTCTTTAGGCATAGCTGTTCCACTACACGACAGAGTCTATAGCTGTTCCACGTACACGACAGAGTCTATAGCTGTTCCACTACACGACAGAGTTTATAGCTGTTCCACTACACGACAGGGGGGTTGGGTGGCCGAATGGTTAGTACGTGCATGCTGTATCATACGGCCTGTCATTGAGTCAACTGGCGTGGTTTCGAATCCCCGATTGTACGTGACAAGGAGTAGGGTCGCCTGTCCAACCTCATGGGTTTTCTCTGGGTCCTCCGGTTTCCTCCCACTGCTACAGACCCCTATGCGCAAGGCAATTACTGAAACAAAATGGAACCATATGTTAGTTCCGAAATGACCTGGTTTGTATCGAGTGAACGTTAAACCCCATTTCTCTCTCTCTCTCCACTACAGTTTATAGCTGTTTCATATTTAATTATGAAGTTTTCCCCGCCACTTACCTGTATAATCCAGGTTCTATTGTAATAACTTTTACATCAAATTTCGCCATTTCTAATCTGAGACCATCAGAGAAGGCTATACAGGCCTTCTTAGACATGGAGTAGGCAGAAAACGCAGGCAGTGTAAATCGACCTGAAAAGATAAATGAAATGAAATGAAATGGGAATTACTGAAGACGGGTATACGCCATACAGTGTGCTATGAGGCGCTACGGCCTACTCAGGGTATCTTTTACATGCACGTCAATGTATACACGGGACCTCTGTTTTTCGTCCCATCCGAACGACTAGACCGCTGTCCTTGTCGGTCCCTCCGTAATGCACCACTGTGTAGTTACTGGTTTTATAGAGTAGGGGAACATGTTGAAAATTTTAATTGGGGTGTGTCTCTTTAAAACGTAATTGAGTGATAATTTCAATGGGGGTGAGTGACGTGGTTTCAAAATGAAATGAAATGAAATGGGGTTTAACGTCCTACTGTTCTGCTCCTAAACTGGGCTAATGAAGACGGGCATATGCCATACAGTGTGCTATAAGGAAATTTTTCCCGGGCAGCGGCGCTACGGCCTACCCAGGGTATCTTTTACGTGCACGTCAATGTATACACGGGACCTCTGTTTTTCGTCCCATCCGAACGACTAGACCGCTGTCCTTGTCGGTCCCTCCGTAATGCATCACTGTGTAGTTACTAGTTTTATAGAGTAGGGGAACATGTTGAAAATTTTAATTGGGGTGTGTCTCTTTAAAACGTAATTGAGTGATAATTTCAATGGGGGTGAGTGACGTGGTTTCAAAATGAAATGGGGTTTAACGTCCTACTGTTCTGCTCCTAAACTGGGCTAATGAAGCCGGACATATGCCATACAGTGTGCTATGAGGAAATGTTTCCCGGGCAGCGGCGCTACGGCCTACTCTTATATCGAATTCCAACTGTCAAGGGATCTTTTACGTGCACGCCAATGTGTACACGGGATCTCGGTTTCCGTGCCTTCCGTACAACTAGACAGCTGTCCTTGTCAGGCCCTCCGTCCTGCATCACTGACAAGGGGAAACCACGCCGGAAAATCGGGAGGAACTTTCTCGACCAATGCAGGGATCGAACACCCGACCTCCAGGCTAACGAGCCAGCGTCTTACCCACTTAGCCACGTGATCCCTAATATACAGTATAATATAGCTCACAGTTTAATATATTACCGATGTATATACTTAATGTAGATAGTTACAATTTTATTATAAACAGATCAGATACTATGGTACCCTTGACAATATAATCAGTGTTCTTGTATTCTCTCTATATCAACATTAACATCTCTCTACTGTAAATAATCACTGACTTTGTTTACATATTAAACCACATACTCACGTGGTTTACATATAACTTTTATTTACCATCTGAAACACTGTTCACATTCAAACATCAGCACAATCACTTTACATCATTAAGGAAATGGCGTTAACGTCTTCACTGATTGTGCTAATGAAGACGGGGCTCGTGAAGAAATAAATGAAAGTTTAATGTGCTAATGAAGACCGGGCTCATTAAGAAATATATGAAAGTTTAACGTCCTACTTTTCTGCACCAACAGGGATAATAAATGAAATGGGGTTTAACGGCCTACTATGATGCACCGACTTGGTTAATAAAGACAGACATACGCTATACAATGGCTATGGGGGAGAAATTTTCCCCGACAGAGGCGCTACGGCGTTCTATTATATCGAATTACAGCTGTCAAAGGCTCTTTTACGTGCGCGCCAATGTTCACACGGGGCCTCAGTATTTCGTCCCATCCGAACGACTATACGTTGTCTCTTGCCAGGCCCTCCGTTCTACACCGCTGACATGGAGGAACCATGCCGGAAAATCGCGATGAAATGAAATGAAATAGGGTTTAACGTCCTACTGTTCTGCTCCTATACTGGGCTAATGAAGACGGGCATACGCCATACAGTGTGCTATGAGGAAAATTTTGCCCGGGCAGCGGCACTATCGCCTACTCTTATATCGAATTCCAACTGCCAGGGGATCTTTTACGTGCATTCCAATATATACACGGGACCTCGGTTTTTCGTTTCATCCGAAGGACTAGACAGCTGTACTGGTCAGGCTCTCCGTTCTGCACCACTGACAAGGGGAAACCACGTCGGAAAATCTGGATGAACCTTCTCGGCCAATGCAGGGATCGAACACCCGACCTCCAGGCTAGCGAGCCAGCGTCTTAACCACTTAGCCACCCCAAATCGTGATGAACTTTCTCGGCTAATGCAGGGATTGAGCACGCAACCTTGACTCCTACCATGAAACGAGGGAGGGAGTCAATTTGTATCTAAAACACTGATATGTCCGCGTTTCATTTGTACAGTCTTTGTGTTACTGGGCAGTTATCCTGTGTTGCCTATTGCATACAAACACAACATCTCTAACGTTACAGAAAGCAAGAGAGAAAATGGGGTCTAACTTCCACTTGACACAAACTGGGTCATTTCGGGACTAACATACGGTTCAATTTTATTTCAATAATTCGCTAACGCGTAGGGGTCTTTAGCAGTGGGAGGAAGCCAGAGTACCCGGAGAAAAGCCACGAGGTTGGAAAGGCGACCCTACTCCTTGTCACGTACAAGCGTGGAATCGAAACCACGCAACTTTACAGAAGAGAGAGAGAAATGGGGTTTAACGTCCACTCGACACAAACTAGGTAATTTCGGGACTAACATATTGTTCAGTTTTATTTCAGTAATTCGCTAGCGCGTAGGGGTCTTTAGCAGTGGGAGGAAACCGGAGGACCCGGAGAAAACCCACGAGGTTGGACAGGCGACCCTAGTCCTTGTCACGTAAAACCGGTGAATCGAAACAATACAGAAAAAAAGCAACTTACCCGCTAAGCTAGCAACATTCACAACCCGACCTTTAGATGGACGTATGAGAGGTAAAAAGGCTTTGGTAACCCTGACAACACCAATAACGTTAACATCCATGATTCTAGTGTACTGTTCCACGGAACACCATTCTATCTCCGTAAAAACAGCCACACCAGCATTATTCACTAACGCCCACAAAACTAAAAAAAAAATAGATATAAAATGAATTAGGGTTTAACATCCAACTTTTCGGCAACCGACCTGATAAGGACGGCCATGCTCCAAGCTGTGTGCTATGTCGAAAATTTAGCTCTGATACAGCGGTGCTACGGCCTTTTCTTTTTAGAATTCCAACTATCAGGGTTTCTTTTACATGCACGTCACCGAAGACAAAACGCTGTTCCGCCCTGCACCACTGACAAGGAGGATCCACACTGGAAATTGACAGAGAATTTTCTCGGCCAACACCTCGCGAGATTGAACCCGAAAACGTCTGTTTAGCGACCCAGCGACTTTGACCCACTGAGTCACCGCGGCTAAAAAAACCCAACCAGGCCCCAAGTATTCTTAACAATATCCAAAAGAAACAATGGTTTCTGGCGTCTGGTGTTCTAGAAAGCAACACAATGGGGCGTGGTGTCTGGTCTTCTAGAAAGCAACCAAATAGGCACAAGGCAGGATGTGCTATTGATTTCTAAAACGCCAGATAAAACTTCTCATTCGCATGACTACCTAATACTTTTGTATTTTGACTTGTTTTTTATATTCACTTACAGATCTAATTTGTTTTCTGTTGGGAATATTCTCAAAGGAAATGTTAAATGCCAAGAGCCAAAATAAACATTCTTGGTAAAACAAAGTTTTAATTTGAAACGTATCTGAAGATGCAATATGGCGTCATTGGTGGTCCATGTCATATTTTATGATTCCTATAAAAAGCGAGGCAACACGAGAACACAAGATTACTATCTTTTACATCATAGTTTTTTTTTAATTATTCCAGTATAACGTTTCGTTGTTTAAAGATACATGTGGCACGCGTCTAACCAGCCTGTCGGAACGAAATTCCTATTGGGGAAGGGTGGGGGATGTCGGCGCTGCGGGGGTAAAATGGGGAAATGAGACAATTTTTAAGCTACTTGAGCGCATATTTGCAAATTATTGATAGGGGGAGGGGGGGTATTTTGCATTAAGCGACGGACTAGACCAGTTATCTTCACTTCAACCACAATTGTTGGAAATGAACTGAAATGGGGATTAACGTCCTACTGTTCTGCTCCTACAGGTCTAATGAAGACGGGTATGCGCTATACAGTGTGCTATGAAAGATATGTTGCGTGAACAGTGGCGCTACGACCTATTCTTATATTGAATTTCATCTGTCAAGGGATTTTTTTCTGTGCACGCCAATGTGTACACCGGAGCTAGGATTTTCGTACCATCCGAACGACTAGATAGCTGTCCTTGCCAGGCCCTCCATCCTGCACCACTTACAAGGGGAAACCACGCCGGAAAAATATCTCGATGAAATTCTCGGCCAACACCGGCGGGAGCAAACCTGCGGATCTCCAGACTAGCGTCTTACTCACTTAGCCACCATAATAGATCCGAGTGATAAACATTATTACATTGTAAATAATTAGGCGATAATTTACCGGAGTCCATTCTACTGAGACACTTACTGTTATCGCCAATATTATTCTTGACGTATTGAACAGCTTGTCTAACCAACCAATCATCTGTTACATCCATATGTACGATATGCACGCGACCTGACGTCATTTCCTTCAAACCCTGAGCACCTTCGCGATCTGGCATCAGGCATCCTGCAAACACTGTAAACCCTAATTTATCCAGACGACAGGCTAACTCGGCACCAAAACCACTGTCACAACCTGAAATAGTTAAACACAATTCTTCATTACAAATATTAATTTGATTTTCATTCAAGATGGGTTCCCACGTGTGAAATAAAATGGGGTTTAACGTTTTTCTGTTCTTCTCCGGTTGAGTTAATGAAGACGGACATTGTGCCGGGAAATTATGTCCGGAAATGAAATGAAATGAAATGGGGTTTAACGTCCTACTGTTTTGCTCCGAACTGGGCTAATGAGGGAAATTTTGCCCGGACAGCGGCACTACGGCCTACTCTTATATCGAATTCCAACTGCCAAGGGATCTTTTACGTGCACGCCAATGTGTACACGGGACCTCGGTTTTTCGTCTCATCCGAATGCCTAGACAGCTGTCCTTGTCAGGCCCTCCGTCCTGCATCACTGACAAGGGGGAACCACGCCGGAAAATCGGGATGAATTTCTCGGCCAATGCAGGGATCGAACACCCGACCTCCAGGCTAGCGAGCCAGCGCCTTACCCACTTAGCCACCGTGATCCCCAATTATGTCCGGACAGCGGCGCTAGGGTGTACTCTTATATCGAATTCCAACTGCTAAGAGATCATTTACGTGCACGTCAATGAGTACACGGGACCTCACCTTCTCGTCCTGCTCGAGCGACTATACGTTGTCCTTTCCGTTGCCCTCTGTCCTGCAAATTTACTGAATAGAAAGTACTCTGTCGTTGACAATAGTGTCAAAATGTCCAACATAAAGTATCGAGGGAACATTAAATCCAATTCTATTCCATTCCTACTGACAAAATTTCTTCAGAATGCTATTTACGAGTGTGGAGTACGACGTAGGGAGTTCAAACTTGAATTTCAGAAACCGGGGCAACATGTTGTATACCACTGATGAAACCAGCGCCACTGTAGGGTGAGGGGCGAATGGTTAACGCGTACGCGTTGTATTATAAGGTCTGTGAATGAGTCAACTGGCGTGGTTTTGATTCCCCGGTTATACGTGACAAGGGGTATGGTCGCATGTCCAACATCGTGTGTTTTCTCCGGATTCCTCCCACTGCTAAAGACCCCTACGCGCAAGAGAATTATTGAAATAAAATTGAACCATATGTTAGTCCAGAAATGACCTAGTTTGTGTCTGGTAGACGTTAAACCCCATTTCCCTCAGTACCATTATATAAGTAAAATAGGTCAGGACGTGTTAATTCTGTAAACGTACATCAGTATTTACTGACAGCTATACTACAAGTTATAAACAAATACACGTGCTTGTTGACTATATACACATTCACACTTGTCAACATTCCTCGGGTAGTACTAGTGTAATGTCAACCATGTTAGAAATCTCTAACATTTAAAATATCTGTCATTAACTTCAGGTTTTTTTCATTTTTCAATTTTTATATACATGTTTAATAACAGACAATCATTCGCTAGGTTTATTAAACATACATTATGCAAGACCTAAATCTATCTATTGTAGGTCTTTCTTTAGGCCTAAAATGTTTTCTAAATTATTAATTAGACATTAATCAACTTATCCAGACCATAATCAACTCTCGATGTCATCGCTAGCCTGCGATATTTACTGGATTGGAATCCGATCTGCTGCTACACTCCATCGATAATTGAATCAATAAATTGATAATCGAGACTATGTTTTTTTATCGTACCGACTTTAATATGCCCGTTTCCATTAGCTCGTGGGTAGCAAGAACAGTAGATAGTCAAACCCCATTCATTCATTCATTCATTTTCGTTTTAATTATAAAGCGTCACGTCACCTGAACACTAGAAAATGAATGGAATTTAATTAAAATTCAACCCAACACTGTGCGATATTTGAATGTGTGTGAAATGTAGATGTCATTATCACATATTTATTTAGTTAGTAAATATACTTTCAGGTTTTATGTGACAAGTTAAAATTGACATCAAACACACAGTTACATGCGTCGTGCACGCGGCAGGGCGTACTGAATCTTTCTGAAGCTCCTGTTGCCATATTGCAGGTGTCCTCCTGGTCAGAATACGAATGTGAAATCTTCACAATGAGAAATCGTATCAGCCTAGTGTACGATACCCGTCACAACTTATAACTAACTGGGGTAACAATCCGGCCAGGATCAGCAAGCGAATCAACGACAATTGACGGGTTTATTTAATAATGCAAGACACAGAACAGCTGTCTAGTCCTTCGGATGGGACGATAATAGATGGTTGCACATAATAGAATCCTTGAAAGTTGGAATTCTATATAAGAGTAGGCCGTAGCGCCGCTATACGGGCAACAGTTTCCTCATATAGCAGCTGTATGGTGTATGCCCGTCTTGATTAGCTCAGTCTAGGAGCAGAACAGTAAAGCATTAAACCACATTTCATTTCATTTGTACCAATGTAGAGTAAAATTGACAACAGAAAGAGTTCATCTACCAATGTAAAATGTCAGATAAAGACGAGTTCTGGAATGGGTGTAAAACCTTTCTAATGTTTCATCACAAACATTCTTAACATTTATATACACACATGCTGCACTGTCTTCAATATACACATGCATCTCGTGTCGATCATCCATCTAGGTCGGGAGATAGATACATAAATAACGTTAGCTGTCGACTCTCGCCACATCAATACACCTTTGCAACCTTCCAATTCAAGTATCAATTCTCTCAAATTGCACCTATTGTAGTTAACTCAATGCAACTAGATCGGAGATACATAGAAAACTATCGCAAAATAAAATTAACAGTCTGACTCTCGGTACACAAATATACCTAACTACCTTTCAAATTCAAGTATGAATTCTCTGATATTGCACATATTGTAGTTTATACAATGCATCTCGTGTAGATCAACCAACTAGATCGGAGGACACAGAGCTATCACAAAACAATGTTGTTTTTGCTTTTAACATATGTGATTGTACCAGAACATAAGGATTAGGGCAAAGTTACAACAACTTACCGATGCCCTATTACAAAATAACACTAGCCGTAAGATTCTCGGCACTCAAATATACCTATCCACTTATCAAGTGTGAATATTCTCAAATTACGAAGTTTACGCAATCTTAGAGATGTACCTTAAACCTGTGTAATATTTACACAATGAAATTTTGTAATGTCAGATGTTTACACATTGCAATTGCACGCAAAAGATCTCTTAACAGTTGTAACAAATAACTGTATGTTATCCTCAAATGACCAAATGACCGAAGTATGATGCTGGCATGGCGTTAATTTCCTTTCTCATATAATGTGTAAACCATAAGACGGATCAATGACTTAACTCAAGTTTCTGATTCATTTCGGGATCGAAGGACATACTGAAAGCCATAAATTGTTCAAATTGTTTACAGAAATTTTTAGAAAAAAACGATCAGTGACTTTCAAACATCAATCTAAAATTAAAAAGCATACATTGTGATAAGCCTCCATAAGCACTTAAAAGTACATCCCCGTGCATTAAAAGGCAAAACAAGACTGCGCATAATTACCACAAAGAAGAATAACCTTTTCTGTGAGCTTTAAGTTATCAATAAGCTTAGGATAATAAGAATTTTAAGTAAAAACTAAAAAAGAAACATAGATTGTGATAAGCCCCCATAAACAGGTTAAAAGCGGTCGGTGCAATGGAAAGACCAAAGGGCAATACAATTCTGCACATGTAAATACCACAAAGAAGAAGAATATTTTCTGGGTGCTTTAACCTATCAATAAGCTGAGTATGGTAAGAATAATAATACAATAATACAATTTATAATACGGTGGTTGCTTTTGAGTGATTTTACGATACACACAGGATTCGTTATTGGACTGGGAACGTTTATTATATCAGAAACAATTGGCGATGATTAGATTATAGTGGCGCCAATGGTAATTGGGATAACGTGGTCTAATTTATGGACTGTACAGTACATAAGGGTAATTTATGAACAGAACACCGACTAATCAAAATGTGTGGCACATGGCAAATGGCAAAGTCCTTGACCACGACACAAAAACCACTCGAACTGACTGAAGTACCAGACCAGAAGAACATAAACCTGTCGGCTATGTTATGGTGAATAACTAAGTTGCCATGCTAACATAGACAGAAGATATAAAACATATGCTACACAATTATTTGTGTGTACAATGTTTTACAATATAACAGGTGTAGTTTTAATGAAATGAAATGGGGATTAACGTCATACTTGGATGAAAACAAGACCATCTCTGTATATGTATAGGCCATATTATGTCGTATTCGACCAAACTCAAAGCCATAGACATGACAAATAGCTGGGCTAATGAAGACGGGCATACGCCATACAGTGTGCTATGTGGGAAATTTTGCCCGGGCAGCGGCACTATCGCCACTTCTTATATCGAATTTCCAACTGCCAAGGGATCCTTTACGTGCATTCTAATGTATACACGGGACCTCGGGTTTTCGTATCATCCGAAGGACTAGACAGCTGTCCTTGTCAGGCCCTCCCCTCCGTCCTGCATCACTGACAAGGGAGAACCACGCCGGAAAATCTCGATGAACTTTCTCGGTCAATGCAGGGATCGAACTTTTCGCTAAATCACTATTTCAATATGCTTACGGGGGATTAACAACTTGATAATTACAATGCCACTTTTATTTACTGGATCATGATTATTTCAAAGATCGTGAAGCATATAACTGCTTAAGGCGGACTTTGAACAACTTTGTCCATAAAAACAGACTTTGGCCCCCAGATCATGCTGACTCATTTAACTATTTGCAGGTCAAGGTAAGATTATGTGAAGAGCGATTGTACGAACGGCAATTGTATGTACCAGGTTCGCTTACTTTTAATTTTATTGGGCCTGAATGTCACGTGGTACCTTTTATTTTAAGGTAAGGTGTGCCATGCAAAGGGTGGGGGTGAGTATGCCCTGAAAACCACTATGTACAGGACTGAACCTTCGTTTGTGTTGGTTCCAACAGAAAAACGAAGCACACGTTCACACTAACAAGGTCATGTTGGCACAAACCATGACATTTCGACGCAAGGCAGGACATT